TACATCTAGGTTATGTTACTGTAATATAGACTGTCGTTTCTTTGGCAACATTTTTCATGGAGGTGCACATGTACATTTAAAATTCAGCAGAATTAATGAGTAATATAAGTTATTGACCGCCATACTTTGTTACTCAAATACTTCATGTAAAAGTTATTTAAAAATGTAGGCACATTAAACCTTCTAGCTGTAAATTTTTCAAACATGACATTCCCAAACGACATAATAAATTTATACCAAAACTATAATATTCTCAAACATGTCAAATGCATGATTGTATAATAATCTTGAATATAATATGAATATTGTGTCATATTTTGTCATTTACTAAAATTTAGAAAATAAAATTGTATTAGATTGACATCAGATGAGCAGAATTTTTACATTAAAATCATCAATCGTCGTGCGTTGGACAACCTGTAAAAATGATATTACTCCGGGATTAACTTTGTTAATGCATTACAGGTCAATGGATTATTCGATGATCAATACGAGTCAAAAAATGCCCCGACCATGGAATATTTGTGCAATTAACATGATTAATGTAACTTTAGATATTTTTGAAAAAAATGTTCAACATATTCAAGATTAAAAAGTTTTCATGAAAATTATCACAAAATAGCCTCACAATAAAAAAAAAACAATAATTAGTACTCAAGCATTATAATTGAAATGAGTGTGGAAAGTTAGTCATGGAATTGCGTGTACATTGTACATAATGAAGAATTTCTTTATTTACAGTACGTAACAGCTGAGTATATCGATCATGTACGTGTAATATATAGTCGTGTATCTCTGTATGTGCATCGGTTCATCTTGAAGAATGCACATTTTGCGAGGCAGATCGATCTACATTACTATATTATTCAGTAAAATATGATTATTAACTTACGATTTCCCTGACACGTAGAGTTTAACGTCGAAAAGTATAACACAGATTTCTTATCTCCATGTCCAATACATTGCTAGAAGCCTACGGTAACCAGTTGTGTACAAAATTCAGCATTTAAAATTAACAATTAAGAAAACTTTAAATAATTTAAGTTCATTCGTTTATAAATACGCGATGGGTTTCCTTTTTTCCGTCTATCCATTGGCGTGTCGGAAGCAAATTAAATTAAAATGGAGGGGGGGGGCTAATTGAACTAAAAACAATTTAATTTTCAGACCTGAAAAAACTTGACAAGCAAAATAAAAAAAAAAGGAAAATTGTTCTTTCATCAAACACGAAAATCCTTTTTCGTGGTGGTGGTGGTTCCTTCACTACAATAAAATCGTGCCTGTAAAAAGTGGGGGTTATAGACCTACGCCCGATTGCTCGATGCCTTTATATTATGTCTACCTTTGCAAAAAAAGGGGGGCTTAATCCACCTATATACTCACCCCCACCCCGGCCGGTTCCAACGCCTTTGCTAGCTATGTTACATGTAGGTCTACTTATATTGACGTTGACCTTCGAGTTTAATTTGAATTTAAGGTAGGATTCTTCTCATATTTCTTGTATTTAAAAATTAATGAAATGTTCACAGACTCAGATCAAGAGGACAATATCACTAAGTGTTGATATCAGTGAGATTAAATTTTACCGTTAAATATATTAGAGGCAAGGTCAAGTCAAGGTCATTACCCTTTTCCTGGCATTGGGAATAAAAAAAATACTAGAAAAGTACTGTTTCCAATCATGCGATCCCTACTTGTTATTCAAAAGATTGAATGTTTTTTTCTCTTTGCATAAAAAGATACTGCCATAAAGGGCCTTTAAGACGATATATACCAAATTAACATAGATAATTTAAATAAAATGGAAATATGCTAATCCGAATTTCCTCTACTTTTGTTAATTTTTTTGGATATATTAGTTATTTTTATATCCTTCCTATATTTAACTTTTTTCTCATTTTCACATATAGTAAAGTCGTCACATAAAGGTACAAAATGATACATACGATTCATTTGCTGGCAAGTGTTTTGTGGTTTTTGTGGAAAAAAAATTTACTTGGCATTGGTCGCCATTTTACTTTCAGTATGAATCCGCTTTTTAGATTTTATCTCTGGGGATATATTCTACATAAACATTAATTAGGAAACAGCCTTCTATAGGTAAAGCAAAAAAAAAAAATTCTTGCTTCAAATAAATTCAAAGGAAGCTTCCAAATTTTAATGAAAATCGATATTTATTCGTTCATGCAATGTACAATGTATACAAAGAAAAAATAAACACAATTTATTTGCATGTATAATATATGCAAGTAATAAAATGTAAACAAAGGCACAGAAGTATATTTTCAGTACGTGTTTCATACTTAAAGATCTTTCGAGTTCGCGTCTTATAAAACTGTATTGAAAATATATCACAGGTTGTTTTGGACAAGACCCCCCCCCCCTTCGATATTCAACCTGGGGATATTGACATTTTATATCACAAGCTATGATATTAATTATATTTATCTATCGTGTGTATCATATTGTAAATCGGAGAAAAAAATTGCAAAATTTAATTATTCACCCCCCCCCCCCAACATCAAAAACCACCCTGGTGTAGACTATACATTATAAGAGATACACATAATTTTCGCAGTTTTTTTTCCTCGTCCAAAAAAAATGAAGGCCCATGGGTAGCCATAACAGGTTGGGGGCAAGGCCAAACAAAAAATATATCCGTTTTATTGAGCCCCGGGGGGGGGGGGGAAGCATTGACATATTTGAATGTATTTCATAATATTCTGTATTTCAGCAAAATTATTTGGGAGACACCCGCCCCCGGGTTCCTAATAAGGCTATGATCAGGTTAAAATCGGAACAAAAGATCCTTTTTCAATTTTGTTCAAAGATTATGTAGAAATTTATAACAGATCAGAGGATTAAATAAACAGTGGAGTCTCATTTATCCGGACGCTTTGATTCCTAGTCAATTTGTCCGGATATGTGAAGCGTTCGGATATATATCTGAATTATACCAGTTGATAAAAAAAAATCCGTTCCGATGAAAAATTGTCCGGATACTGAATCATCCGGATATCTGGTGTCCGGATATCTGAAGGCCCACTTTTTTCGCATTATACATCTGCGGATAATGGAGCCATCAAAGTATAGTTATGGAAGTCATGAGTCATATGTAATAGATATATTATACATGTATGTACATGTACAAAGCATATTTTAAACCTGTTTTATATGGTTTGTAATTCATATACCATGGTTTGACTTTTACGACCCCGGAGATAATTCTTCAAGGTGAAGTCAACTGAGGATACCCGGGGTTATGAAATCCAATCTGTTATATAATTTATGCAACAACAATTACAATAAAATTGAAAAAATATATAATATGTGGACCAAATAGCAATAAGACGTCACGAAGATTTTAATGTTGTATTTTTATATATTATTGATCAATTCCTCAAGTAAATGTTGGCTGCATAAAATACAAATTTAAGTTAGGCACGCGCATCACCTATATTTAAAAAAAAATGTATCAATTTTCAATTTTAGAATAAAACACGAACTGTGCAGAGTACGTTTTAATCCGAGAAGCAAAATTCGGTGTTCTAAAAAAAGGGACCTGTTGTTTTTTCGATAGTAAATGATAAGCAACTTTATATATTAAATATGAAAAACATATATTTTTACAGATTCAATTTATGGAAGTAAATATATTATGTATCTCATAATTTATAAATTTATAAACGGAAAGAACATTCTGATTAACAATCTTTTCAATGTTTAGAAAACCTTTAATTCTAAATAACTACTCCCACCCCAATCCCCATACACCAACACTTAAACTTAATTATATGTATAGAGCAGCCCGGTCCTCCGGGCTGCAATAATCCTCAATGCGCCTCATGCACAATATTGTATTGCACTGGCTAGGTGCTTGTATGCCGAGAGGAAATTTACAAAAAGGCCCATGGGCCACATCACTCAACTGAACACTATAAATGAATAACAGAAAAACAGAAATCAGTTCAATATATCATATGAAATACTAGTACTAGCTGCAGAACTGTAGCTCTCCCCAAAATATATTGACACTCCGGTCTGTCAAATTATTTTTTCGGAGAGCTACGGATCTGCAACTAATGAAATACATGTATGTAGTTAAAATATGCGTGGTTTCACCAAAGCCCGTGCAGTATAGGACCAGGACAGGAAAAACTTGAATCTATATCAGTTACTGAATTTAAAAGATGCTACACCAGAATCATTTAAATGAATGATTTTTACAGATTTACAGAGTTTGATGGCCCGTGAAACACTCTCTGCGTCTCATTTAAAATCAGTCAAGGGGAATGAAAGTCATATTACAGTTTAGATTGCAGTATGAAATTTTTTTTCCGACCGCGTGGTCAAGTAGCGCACCTTGTTTTTGCATGGACAATACAACGTGCAAAAGAGAACTCCATGACTCAATTCTAAGTTGTTTTTTACAGTCGATTCTGACCCAATATGGAAAGGTCCTCAAAGATGGAGGGTCTTACAATGTGTCTGTTTTGGGGAAGTGTAAGCTAAGACCATTGATCTTATTTATTTATTTATTTATTTATTTATTTATTTATTTATTTATTTATTTATTTATTTATTTATTTATTTATTTATTCATTCGGTCATTCATTCATTCATTCATTCATTTATGTTATTCCTATTTTATGACTTTGTAAAATAATAAGTAATCAAAGTGAATTGAAAAAAAAATGACCACTGGATCCACTCTTGGGCACATTTTACAGTGTTGCTTTCATTTTGATCTTGAGTTGAAGATGATGAGCTGAGGCAATTTTAAATTTAGTTAAATTGCCTTACATATTATTTTTAATATGTTCCTCTACATCAATTTCCATTTCTTTCTTATGGTCATCAGATATCATCAGACGAATGAAATCTATGTTAGATCTTATATATATATCATTTAAAAAAAGGAGGGGGGGGGATTCAACGCATATCAGGTTGTCTAATTATTTGATCGGGATCGGTATTCCAGTAAACTATTATTTCCGGTAAAATGGAGCAGCACGTTTGAGAATGTTGACAATGTTTTCATTCTTGTTTTAGGAGTTAAACAATGGGTTCGAATAAAAAACAACTTAAAGAAGTTAATAAACAAAAGAAAGGAAAAGGAAAAAGATGGAAGAAAGGCCAAAGCAGCAGTAGTAACCCCGAAACTAAAACATTTAGGGAGGCTGCCAAAAACAGATTTTTCCAAACATCGTCATCGAAAGGTTGTTAGCTCATACGTTTTTTTTTTGTTTTTTTTTGTTTTTTTTTTTACATTAATTTGATTCCTTTTTAGATTGCTTTTAATTTTTTTTCTTACCCGAGGAATAGAAAGCGTTATTTTCTGCCTCTCGGTCTGATCTTACATGTATTTATTAAAATTTATAAGTTTGCTACACAGGTACTTAGGTCTTCGTTAGTAAATACCTTATTTGTTATGATTTGGTTAAGCTGATATTGTTATCCGGAATTATATAATCTTTTGTTGGTTCTGTGTTTTGTAATACTGTAACAGTTGCGTAATGATACAATAAAATAGTTCCAAAATGGCATCCTTCTGTGGAGCACATGTGTTTTGACTGTGCACGAACCCATTGTCTAAAAAGACATAACATTGGCGACGAGGATCGTTCAGGATGGCAAAATTCGCAGCCATTGGTCGTATCGACATCTTCGACAACAATGTCGAAACCTGGAACTCGTACAGTGAGCGCCTTGACCAGTATTTTGTGTGCAATGACGTCAAGGAGGAAAAGAAAGTTCCCGCATTGCTAAGCCTCATAGGGGGTAAGACTTACCAGTTATTGAGAGGTTTGACAGCACCGACTAAACCGGCAGACGTGGAATATGCCGCACTCGTGAAAATCCTTGGTGATCACTTGAACCCCCCTCCTGTAGTAATCTCCGAGAGATTTCGGTTTTACAAAAGGGACCAGCGGGAAGGTGAGTCTATTAGAGACTATATAGCGGATCTTAGAAGATTGTCAGAACATTGTGCATTTAAAGACAGTCTGAACGAATCGCTGCGTGACAGATTAGTTTGTGGCCTTCGGAGCGAGGCAATTCAGAATAAACTCTTAGCAGAAAAAGACTTGACATTAGAGAAGGCGACGCAGATAGCACAGGCTATGGAGACCGCATTCAAGGATGCAACCGAGCTGCAGTCCAAACACGTTGGAATGGTAAACAAGCTAGGGGTGAGACAGAAAAAGGGATATCACTCTGCTGGAACTGGAGTAAGGTCGCCACAACCCAACATGCCTAAGGTGAAACGAGGTACGAATTCAAAGAAATGTTTCCGTTGTAACAGTACAGCTCATGATCAAAGTCAGTGTTATTACAAAGACAAACAGTGCTATAATTGTTCAAAAATTGGACATTGTAAAAAGGCATGTAGGAAAACAAAGGAGGTACACAATGTGGACTGGAGTGAGAATCTCATTGGATCATTAGATGTGAATTCAGTTGAAAAGACTCATTCTGGAGCAATCGTAGTCAACACAAACATTGACGGTGTAGATGTTGATATGGAACTCGACACGGGCGCAGCAGTCTCCGTGATGTCAAAGAAAAAGTTCTGTGAGTATTTTCCAGGAAGGATTAAGAACTTACCTGAATCAAATATGTGTTTAAAGACATATACTGGTGAAATCTTGAAGCCTTGTGGAGTGGCACGTGTAAATGTGAGTCACAACAACCAGAAAAAGGATCTAGACTTGTACGTGATGCAGAAGGCAGGACCAACGCTCTTCGGAAGAGAGTGGCTTCAGCAGATTTCACTCGATTGGCCGTCCATCAAGTCCATGTCGTGTGTGACAGACAAGATTTCAGACACTTGTTCTGATAATGTGAAAGCGGACTTAAAACACATGTTGGAAAAACATCGTTCAGTTTTCCAGAGTGACATAGGTACGGTTAAGGGTATTGAAGCTACACTCAACTTAAAGCCGGACGCTAAACCAAAGTTCTGTAAAGCCCGCTCAGTACCGTATGCTCTCAAGCCTAAGGTCGAGGCTGAACTGGACAAACTAGTCAGAGATGGTATCATAACCAAGGTGGACTACAGCGAATGGGCAACGCCTATTGTCCCTGTCATCAAGTCTGATAAAAATGTGCGCATATGTGGTGATTTCAAGGTGACACTGAACCCTGTTCTTGAAATCGATCAGTATCCGCTGCCCCGCATTGAAGACATTTTTGCAGCACTCGCAGGTGGTAAGCGATTCACCAAGTTAGATTTACGACATGCATATCTACAAATGAGAGTAAATGAGGAGTCGCGCAACTTATTGACAATAAATACAGAGAAAGGACTCTACCGCTACAACCGTTTAGTTTATGGTGTGGCCTCAGCTCCTGCAATCTGGCAAAGGACCATCGACACAGTCTTACAGGGTCTCACAGGCGTCAAATGTATCATTGATGATATGATAATAACGGGCTCATCTGAGGAAGAACACCTGAAGAATTTGGAAGCTGTATTAACGCGCCTGGATGAATACAACTTGCGTGTGAACTTGAATAAGTGTGAATTCTTCAGAGAACGTGTTTCTTATTGTGGACATGAAATAGACTGTGAGGGTCTGCACAAAACGCAATCCAAGATTGAAGCAGTTGTCAGTGCGCCGAAGCCGAAGAATGTTTCAGAGTTGCGATCATTTCTGGGCATTGTTAACTATTATGCCAGATTTTTGCCTAACCTTTCAAGTCTTTTGTACCCGCTACACCAGTTACTGTCAAAGAGCCGAAAGTGGTCCTGGTCTAGCGAATGTGACAAGGCATTTTCTGAAGTCAAACAGCTTATTACCTCTGATGAGATTTTGACTCATTACGACCCACAGCGAGAGGTGCGATTAGCATGTGATGCTTCACCTTATGGTTTAGGGTGTGTATTATCCCATGTCATGGATGACGGATCAGAACGACCGATAGCATATGCATCTCGATCATTGTCGTCAGCAGAGCGGAACTATTCACAGATAGATCGTGAGGCTCTGGGGATAGTATGGGGTGTGAAACGTTTTCATACATACCTCTATGGAAGACACTTCACTTTATTGACGGATCATCGCCCTCTTGTGTCCATCTTCAGCCCCAGCAAAGGTGTATCAGTCACCACAGCAGCACGCATGCAGAGATATGCTCTGTTTTTATCAGGGTATGATTATGACATTATGTACAAAAACACCAAAGCGCATGGAAATGCAGATAGCTTATCGAGGCTACCACTGTCTGACTGTGAATCTGATGATGATTATCAAGATATTGACTTGATGTACCTACCACAATTTGAAACATTACCAATCACCAGTGACCGTATTAGACAGGAAACTGGACGTGATCCTGTCACTGTGAAGGTATATGGTTATACCATGAATGGATGGAGCTTTTCGGTCAAAGCAGATGATAAGGACTTGTATCCCTACTTTACGCGTAAGGACGAGTTAACAATTCACAATGGATGTTTGTTGTGGGGAATGAGAGTTGTTGTTCCAACAAAGCTTAGGGATCACATACTTAAGGAGCTTCATTTAGGTCACATTGGAGTAGTGAAGATGAAGGCATTAGCTCGAAGTGTGGTATGGTGGCCCGGGATCGATCTTGATATAGAGAGGATCACGAAAGCATGCTCAGGATGTCAGGAGTTCAAGCGTGCACCTCCAGCAGCCCCCATTCATCCGTGGGAGTGGCCCACTAAACCTTGGGAACGTATCCATATAGACTTCGCTGGGCCTTTTATGAACTGGATGTTCCTGGTAGCAGTAGATGCACATTCTAAATGGCCTGAGGTCATAATGATGCGCGAGACGACATCCCACAAGACTATTGAGGTCTTGAGAAGTATCTTTGCTAGAAATGGTGTTCCTACAGTGTTGGTCAGTGATAACGGACCTCAGTTTATGTCAGACGAGTTTGGAAACTTCATTCGTACCAATGGAATAAAGCATGTGACTTCTGCTCCATATCATCCTAGCTCAAATGGATTAGCGGAACGTTTTGTACAATCATTCAAGTCCGCAATGAAGTCAAGCAAGAAAGATGGAGGTTCTGTGGAAACGAAGTTATCTAACTTTTTACTAGCCTATCGCAACGCAGCACATTCAACTACTGGAGAGTCACCCGCAAAGCTATTCATTGGTCGTTCATTGCAGTCACGACTAGATTTGATAAAACCAGACATTGAACAAAATGTTAAAAACAAACAGTTTCACATCGCATCTAAGAGATCAAGTTCATTGCGTGTGTTTGAACCTGGGCACAGTATAATTGTTAGGGACTACCGTCACAGTTCAAAGTCGGACTGGGTACCAGGAACCGTTCAAGAGCAGACAGGACCTGTTTCTTACAGAGTGCAAGTTGGGGACAATACTTGGAGAAGACACGTAGATCAGATATATGATTCTTCACTAAAGAATCAGGGAGTTGTACCCAGTGATCTTGAGAAGTTTGTGCCACAGGTACATGTACCAACTCCTACAGTTAGTGCTAAGCAGTCTAGTCCAGAAGTCTTTCCGCAAGGTACGAAAGTCAGGCAGTCAACTCCAGAGGTCTTCAACAGGAAGAAAGCTAATAGTCCTATCCAGGAACAGAAATCTCAGCCAGAAGTTAGGACCGAGCCTACCATACTAGCCAGACAAAATCCAAGACGAAATGTTGGACCGCCCAAACGTTTCAGTGACTATGTTACTTTCAAATGAATTGTGCATTTTGTTTTGTGTATTATGGCACAGTATTGGGGCACAATAATCCCCGTGCCTTTGTGTTGACCAAGAGGTCATTTTCACTTTGTATACTGTATTGTGTTGAATGTATTGGCCTGGTAAAACATGTCTGTGAAGTTTAATATTTGAAATGTGTATATTGCCCAAAATTTCATTCAATTTAAGTTCTGATTTTAATTCTTGTGGAAGTCAAAATTTAGTGGGGAGGAATGTTATGATTTGGTTAAGCTGATATTGTTATCCGGAATTATATAATCTTTTGTTGGTTCTGTGTTTTGTAATACTGTAACAGTTGCGTAATGATACAATAAAATAGTTCCAAAATGGCATCCTTCTGTGGAGCACATGTGTTTTGACTGTGCACGAACCCATTGTCTAAAAAGACATAACATTATTGATCAATGTTCACTTTTACCTTTTTTTATCATATCAATAAGGTACATAAATATTTATAAACCAAGACTCATGTGCATGTGGGTTGCCCCTGCCCGATTAAAACATTTTATTGGCAGTACAATAGTTGGGGCGAGCACAGTTTTGTATAATAGAATTACTGTAAACCAACTTTTATTCGTGTGTGAGAAATTTTCACGAGGTTCGCGAGAGCCTTGTCATGGAGAATATTTCTCACCGCGAACCGGTCCTTAAATTCCCTGTTGCTATGAACAACAACCTCAAAAAAGGCTTGATCGCGAAAATTTATCGTCGCAAACTACTTTTTAAGGAGTAAATCGCGAAATAAAGTTGTCACGAATAAAAGTTGGTTTACCGTATTCTACGTTATTTGTAAGGTTACGGATGGGTTCGCTCTGATAAGGTGTTCATGCTGAGTTGTATCTCGCTGAGTGGTTTCGCCCCATTTAACTACAGGGTATACAATGTCATGTAAATGTTCTTCTATTAAGTGATAATTTATATTACACACATGATGTATGCAACAGTAATTAGATAATTGAATAACATTTTATATCTGATATAGAGTGAGTTTTTTTTATAAATTGAAAAGACATGTGAAAGGTCTAGACTGTGATGGTGTTTTAGTTCCATAATTCAGTTTGAAATGTGCCATTTTTACACTAATTTTCTACATGGGACATACCGTATAATGGGTATTTTTTACGTGCTGCTAATTTTTACAAGTTTTATAAATCCGTAAAATTTAAACGTGTAAAATTTCACATGATTTATAAAACGACTCGTGTAAAATTTCAACATCATTTGTGTAAAAATAATGCTAATTACCATTAAGCTCACTCCCTGGAGGCTAAATGATTAGTGTAGTGTTGATATTTTGAGCACTTTTAAGTCAATCATCAATTGGGATCATATAGGTAAATCTCAATTAACTTGTATGAATTATACAAACATCGTATATTAATTAATCAATTAAACCCACCTGGTCACTTTTTTTTTAGTATTTTTACGAGAAACTAACTTCCGACAATGCCTTTATGATTACAGGTCTTCCAATTATACCCGTGTTTTCAATCTTTGACCCTTTCTTCTGTTTCATGTTCTTTGAATAAAACTTTGACTTCCTAATAGACTGTCATACTTGTACTTCAATTATGATAGTTTGAGTTGTCTCTCTTTGTATTCGGTAAAAATGGTGTGCCTAGCTTTGTGTTTTATAGAATTTGAATTTATAAATGAAGGGCACCTTGTTCGTGTACATAAAGGTAAATGATAAAAACATTATACAATGTGTAATTTGTTGCATTGTTTATATTGTTAAAATTTAATAAATCTCTCTCTCTTGCCTCTCTCTCTTGCATCGGACACATTATATTTACTGTCAGAAACGCATTCAAAGTGCTGACAATCACTGATCTGGAATTTTACATCTGATGATTTTAATTTTTAAGGACATGAAAATGATGTTCAATTTGTAAAATATTAACGCGTAAAAATTTAAATCACCCTCTTTTGACCAAAATTCGTAAAAATTTACAGCAGTAAAAATAACCCGTTATACGGTATACACAGTATTACACTGTATGTTCTAAAAACCTGATATACTGTAGATCTAGCCATGACCTGATGAAAAAATGTCCTTTAAAATTAATTTATCTCCATGTATCTGCACAATCCTTTATCTGACATTTTTATTTCAAAGTTTTTCATTTGTAAACTTTGGTTCATTGACATATCATGCATTATATGTATGTTGTTTATGGAGGAATATCAATGACTATTGGTAATGAGTTTACTACATTTTGCATGCCAATCAAATTTTTATTTAAGCTGATTATTATAATAGTCTGATAGTAATTATGCACATCTAAATGCAGGCTTATGTTTTACACAAAGACAATTTTGTCTATTTTTTTTAAATTCTTTTGAAACAGGAGAAAGTAGTCTTACTGTTGATGCTTTGGCTAAACATAATGAAGAACAGTTAGATAAAGATGGTGATGTTAGTCTACGAGCGGAGTCAGATGTTGTCAGCGCTGCCGGAAAGACGTTTAATACCTGGGCGACAAACTGGACAGAGTGTACCAACACAACATTTAGTCGAGTACATAGGTACTGGGCATCAAATTCGGCTTTTCATAAAGAGGTAAGTGAAATTATTTTAGAGGATGTTTTCATCATTTGTTTAAGTAAGCAACACAAGTGTTCACAAATTTTGGAGGGGAAAATCTTTTTATTTCGAAATCTGAGTGTGGTTTACAATTACATGTAGCTGGTAATTGTGCAGTTGAGGATTCTGATTCAAATACTGGAGATTCCTTATTTTTTGAGAGCTTAAATTTTCATGAAATGTCTCTTTCACATTTAGTGGGGGTACAATAATTAATAATGATAGTAGACAGTTTATCGCGAGATTTTACTTTGATTTCAGCACCGAGAAAATAAAAGCGAGTAATTTTATTTTGCGAGAGGTGCTTGTCACTCATGATCATAAGGCATTCTTTTTGTAGGTGTTAGCTGTGTTAGCGGCAGTTACAGAGGTGATAAAAACCCAGGGAGGCTCTGAATCAGAAACAGAATACTTCGCTGCTTTGGTGGGTGTTTTACTTCAGCTTTCTGATTCATGATTATCATGTATAAAGTACATTTATCTTAAATTGTTAAAAAAAGACCCAGAAAATGATGTATAATGATTAATGAAATATCTCTTTAGAAGACTTTGTCTGTTTTTTTTTTGTCATACTAAACAAGTTTTACATGTACTTTATAATGTAAGAACAGTATCAGATAATTATTTGAACAGATGACAGCACTGGAGACAACAGAGGGAGAAGACTCTGTATCAGCCGTGGCCTACCTCCTCAGCTTAGTCATGAAGAGGTCAGTCACCTTGTACACATATATAACTGTATAATTAGTAATTTTAGTGAGATGCAAATTTGATTGTTTTATGGAAATACTTCTAGAATCAATGATGTAAATGCTGTGAAAATTATCCACATTGCTAAACCTGTAACATGATATTAAGTCTCCTCCAAAGAGAAAATTTGTTTGGAGCATATGTCCTAAAATGTTAATAGATATTTTTTGCATGAGAACTGTTTCTTATTATTTACAGAGTTCCTGCCCCAGTCCTAAAGAGAAGGTTTTCAGAAATTTCCAAAGAATTTCTGGATGTCCTTGTGAAGTACAGCGAGGGGCATTCTCCTGCTCTCCTCAAGTCTGTAAGTACTTAGATTTCCATCAGTGTTACACCGTACGCTCTACAGAAAACCAGTCTCTTAAATGCTTTGTTACTGCCGCAGCTATTATTTGCAAATAAGTCTGACACTTTGAAATCCATCCAAGTCTTGACATTTTTCAGACTGATGCACAATTTTTAATAAAAAATTTTGACCAGAAATATGTTTAAAAAGAGAAGGTCACAAAACCTGTGGATTTTTCATTGAGTTAATATTTGATTTGCAGGTGCTTGATATTGTTCGTAAATTTTTAACTACTGTTAATTTCTTTTAAAATTTTTAATTTGTAGTTGTTGCTGTGTCTGGCGTTGCTGCTTAGAGTTCAGGACCAGGCTACTTGGAGTAACTCCTCCACACAGCGAGTGTATCAAAGTATGCTGGCCTTCACAGTCAACAAAAAGCCTAAGGTATCATCTGTATCATATTACTGACAACAAAAAACCCAATGTATAATCATAGACAACAAAAAAACCCAAGGTATAATCATAGACAACAAAAAACCAAAATTAGATATTATCACTGACAACAAAAAAAAAAAAAAACAAAGGTATTTTTACTGACAACAAAAACCCAAGGTATCACTGACAGCAAAAAAAAAAAACCAAGGCACTATTACAATGAACAAAAAACCCAAGGTATTATCACTGACAACAAAAACCCACAACTTTATCACCGACAACAAAAAAAACCCCCAAGATTTTATCACTGACAGCAAAAAAAAACCCAAAGGTATTTTCACAATCAACCAAACACGTAAGGTTTTATCACTCACAACAAAAAAAAAAATTAAGGTAGTACTATCATAGTCAACAAAAAACCAGGGATATATCGTATCACTTACAGAATATTAAATTTATATGTGTATACACATGTATATATATTCATTGTTTTGAAAGTTCAGAATGCAGAATCATGTATCTGACAGTCATCATTCTGATAATAATCTGTTTGGTATTTCTTTTGGCAGGTGAGAAAGGCAGCACAACAAGGGGTGAATATTGTCCTGAGGGGTAGTGTCTTTATGAACCCACCAGAGACGGCCCCTCCCCACCACCCCGCCAGCTCCCTGACCGCCAAGTTCTGTATCCAGGTCATCGAGCAAAGCGGAGGTTAGAGCTACTGTGAACTCAGTTATTTTCGTGGGGGTTTCATTTTTGTGGTTTTTTAAGGTATGAAGGGACCCAAGAATTCATGTCCACCATGAAATGTACTTTTTTTTAAGATATCATTCCTCAACAATTCTTCATCCTCGAAATTAAATCCCCATGAACCCACATTTCTTCCTCAAACCGCGAAAATTTGATCCCACGAAAATATGCGATTTTACAGTAAACACTGAGTGCAAAATTCATTCTTGATTAATTTTTCTTAACATATTTAAAAAGGACTATTCTTTTACCTTTTGTTTGAATGTGTAAAATTCTTGTTTAATTGTAAATGACAAGTATTTTTATACACATTTGGTGGGAAAAAAATCCAGAAAAAATAACATCTGTAAATTGATAGTATTAAGATCTACAAAAAACAAAGGAAAGCTTGTGACCAACTCCTTGAGGTTAAAATTGTGAAAGATTCTCACATGTGGATACTAAAAGGTATTCAATAGGGTCTGTAACTAAGGTATATTTCAGTATTAAGATCTATTTAAAAAAAAAAAACAATGCATCAAAGTTTTTTTCTTTTTTCTACAGGTTCTACAGAGTCTTCAGACACACTATACATTCTAACCTTATTGAAGGACATCATGTGTACATTCTCTCAGAGTAGTCTGAAATCAGTGTGTGAGACCATACTGAGAGTGATGACACTAAGTAATGTGGTGAGTATACTGATAGAAATCAGTGTGTGAGACCGTACTGAGAGTGATGACACTGAGTAATGTGGTGAGTACTGATAGAAATCAGTGTGTGAGACTATACTGAGAGTGATGACAGTAATGTGGTGAGTACTGATAGAAATCAGTGTGTGAGACCATACTGAGAGTGATGACACTTAGTAATGTGGTGAGTACTGATAGAAATCAGTGTGTGAGACTATACTGAGAGTGATGACACTTAGTAATGTGGTGAGTACTGATAGAAGTCAGTGTGTGAGACCATACTGAGAGTGATGACACTTAGTAATGTGGTGAGTACTGATAGAAATCAGTGTGTGAGACCATACTGAGAGTGATGACACTTAGTAATGTGGTGAGTACTGATAGAAATCAGTGTGTGAGACCATACTGAGAGTGATGACACTTAGTAATGTGGTGAGTATACTGATAGAAATCAGTGTGTGAGACCATACTGAGAGTGATGACACTTAGTAATGTGGTGAGTACTGATAGAAATCAGTGTGTGAGACCATACTGAGAGTGATGACACTTAGTAATGTGGTGAGTACTGATAGAAATCAGTGTGTGAGACCATACTGAGAGTGATGACACTGAGTAATGTGGTGAGTATACTGATAGAAATCAGTGTGTGAGACTATACTGAGAGTGATGACAGTAATGTGGTGAGTACTGATAGAAATCAGTGTGTGAGACCGTACTGAGAGTGATGACACTAAGTAATGTGGTAAGTATACTGATAGAAATCAGTGTGTGAGACCATGAGACCGTACTGAGAGTGATGACACTTAGTAATGTGGTGAGTACTGATAGAAGTCAGTGTGTGAGACCATACTGAGAGTGATGACACTTAGTAATGTGGTGAGTACTGATAGAAATCAGTGTGTGAGACCATACTGAGAGTGATGACACTTAGTAATGTGGTGAGTACTGATAGAAATCAGTGTGTGAGACCATACTGAGAGTGATGACACTTAGTAATGTGGTGAGTATACTGATAGAAATCAGTGTGTGAGACCATACTGAGAGTGATGACACTTAGTAATGTGGTGAGTACTGATAGAAATCAGTGTGTGAGACCATACTGAGAGTGATGACACTTAGTAATGTGGTGAGTACTGATAGAAATCAGTGTGTGAGACCATACTGAGAGTGATGACACTTAGTAATGTGGTGAGTATACTGATAGAAATCAGTGTGTGAGACCATACTGAGAGTGATGACACTTAGTAATGTGGTGAGTATACTGATAGAAATCAGTGTGTGAGACCATACTGAGAGTGATGACACTTAGTAATGTGGTGAGTACTGATAGAAATCAGTGTGTGAGACCATACTGAGAGTGATGACACTTAGTAATGTGGTGAGTACTGATAGAAATCAGTGTGTGAGACCATACTGAGAGTGATGACACTTAGTAATGTGGTGAGTATACTGATAGAAATCAGTGTGTGAGACCGTACTGAGAGTGATGACACTTAGTAATGTGGTGAGTACTGATAGAAATCAGTGTGTGAGACCATACTGAGAGTGATGACACTTAGTAATGTGGTGAGTACTGATAGAAATCAGTGTGTGAGACCATACTGAGAGTGATGACACTGAGTAATGTGGTGAGTATACTGATAGAAATCAGTGTGTGAGACCGTACTGAGAGTGATGACACTGTAGTAAGTGTGGTGAGAGTGATACAGTGTGTGAGAGTAATGACACTTAGTAATGTGGTGATACTGATAGAAATCAGTGTGTGAGACCATACTGAGAGTGATGACACTTAGTAATGTGGTGAGTACTGATAGAAATCAGTGTGTGAGACCATACTGAGAGTGATGACACTTAGTAATGTGGTGAGTACTGATAGAAATCAGTGTGTGAGACCATACTGAGAGTGATGACACTTAGTAATGTGGTGAGTATACTGATAGAAATCAGTGTGTGAGACCGTACTGAGAGTGATGACACTTAGTAATGTGGTGAGTACTGATAGAAATCAGTGTGTGAGACCGTACTGAGAGTGATGACACTTAGTAATGTGGTGAGTACTGATAGAAATCAGTGTGTGAGACCATACTGAGAGTGATGACACTTAGTAATGTGGTGAGTACTGATAGAAATCAGTGTGTGAGACCATACTGAGAGTGATGACACTTAGTACTGTGGTGAGTACTGATAGAAGTCAGTGTGTGTGTCTACTGATAGAAGTCAGTGTGTGAGACCGTACTGAGAGTGATGACACTTAGTAATGTGGTGAGTACTGATAGAAATCAGTGTGTGAGACCATACTGAGAGTGATGACACTTAGTAATGTGGTGAGTACTGATAGAAGTCAGTGTGTGAGACCGTACTGAGAGTGATGACACTTAGTAATGTGGTGAGTATACTGATAGAAATCAGTGTGTGAGACCATACTGAGAGTGATGACACTTAGTAATGTGGTGAGTACTGATAGAAATCAGTGTGTGAGACCGTACTGAGAGTGATGACACTTAGTAATGTGGTGAGTACTGATAGAAATCAGTGTGTGAGACCGTACTGAGAGTGATGACACTTAGTAATGTGGTGAGTACTGATAGAAATCAGTGTGTGAGACCATACTGAGAGTGATGACACTTAGTAATGTGGTGAGTACTGATAGAAATCAGTGTGTGAGACCATACTGAGAGTGATGACACTTAGTAATGTGGTGAGTACTGATAGAAATCAGTGTGTGAGACCGTACTGAGAGTGATGACACTTAGTAATGTGGTGAGTACTGATAGAAATCAGTGTGTGAGACCGTACTGAGAGTGATGACACTTAGTAATGTGGTGAGTACTGATAGAAATCAGTGTGTGTGTGAGTACTGATAGAAATCAGTGTGTACTGAGAGTGATGACACTTAGTAATGTGGTGAGTACTGATAGAAATCAGTGTGTGAGACCATACTGAGAGTGATGACACTTAGTAATGTGGTGAGTACTGATAGAAATCAGTGTGTGAGACCATACTGAGAGTGATGACACTTAGTAATGTGGTGAGTACTGATAGAAATCAGTGTGTGAGACCATACTGAGAGTGATGACACTTAGTAATGTGGTGAGTACTGATAGAAATCAGTGTGTACTGAGAGTGATGACACTTAGTAATGTGTTGTGTACTGATAGTACTGAGTGTGAGAGACCATACTGAGAGTGATGACACTTAGTAATGTGGTGAGTACTGATAGAAATCAGTGTGTGAGACCGTACTGAGAGTGATGACACTTAGTAATGTGGTGAGTACTGATAGAAATCTGTGTGTGAGACCGTACTGAGAGTGATGACACTTAGTAATGTGGTGAGTATACTGATAGAAATCAGTGTGTGAGACCATACTGAGAGTGATGACACTTAGTAATGTGGTGAGTATACTGATAGAAATCAGTGTGTGAGACCATACTGAGAGTGATGACACTTAGTAATGTGGTGAGTAGTGATAGAAATCAGTGTGTGAGACCATACTGAGAGTGATGACACTCAGTAATGTGGTGAGTACTGATAGAAATCAGTGTGTGTGAGAGTGATGACACTTAGTAATGTGGTGAGTACTGATAGAAGTCAGTGTGTGAGACCATACTGAGAGTGATGACACTTAGTAATGTGGTGGGTACTGATAGAAATCAGTGTGTGAGACCGTACTGAGAGTGATGACACTCAGTAATGTGGTGAGTACTGATAGAAATCAGTGTGTGAGACCATACTGAGAGTGATGACACTTAGTAATGTGGTGAGTACTGATAGAAATCAGTGTGTGAGACCATACTGAGAGTGATGACACTTAGTAATGTGGTGAGTACTGATAGAAATCAGTGTGTGAGACCATACTGAGAGTGATGACACTTAGTAATGTGGTGAGTATACTGATAGAAATCAGTGTGTGAGACGGTACTGAGAGTGATGACACTTAGTAATGTGGTGAGTACTGATAGAAATCAGTGTGTGAGACCATACTGAGAGTGATGACACTTAGTAATGTGGTGAGTATACTGATAGAAATCAGTGTGTGAGACCGTACTGAGAGTGATGACACTTAGTAATGTGGTGAGTACTGATAGAAATCAGTGTGTGAGTGTGTAATCAGTGTGTGAGAGTGATGTAGTAATGTGGTGAGTACTGATAGAAATCAGTGTGTGAGACCGTACTGAGAGTGATGACACTTAGTAATGTGGTGAGTACTGATAGAAATCAGTGTGTGAGACCATACTGAGAGTGATGACACTTAGTAATGTGGTGAGTATACTGATAGAAATCAGTGTGTGAGACCATACTGAGAGTGATGACACTTAGTAATGTGGTGAGTACTGATAGAAATCAGTGTGTGAGACCATACTGAGAGTGATGACACTTAGTAATGTGGTGAGTATACTGATAGAAATCAGTGTGTGAGACCATACTGAGAGTGATGACACTGAGTAATGTGGTGAGTATACTGATAGAAATCAGTGTGTGACCATACTGAGAGTGATGACACTTAGTAATGTGGTGAGTACTGATAGAAATCAGTGTGTGAGACCATACTGAGAGTGATGACACTTAGTAATGTGGTGAGTACTGATAGAAATCAGTGTGTGAGACCATACTGAGAGTGATGACACTTAGTAATGTGGTGAGTACTGATAGAAATCAGTGTGTGAGACCATACTGAGAGTGATGACACTTAGTAATGTGGTGAGTATACTGATAGAAATCAGTGTGTGAGACCATACTGAGAGTGATGACACTTAGTAATGTGGTGAGTACTGATAGAAATCAGTGTGTGAGACCATACTGAGAGTGATGACACTTAGTAATGTGGTGAGTACTGATAGAAATCAGTGTGTGAGACCATACTGAGAGTGATGACACTTAGTAATGTGGTGAGTACTGATAGAAATCAGTGTGTGAGACCATACTGAGAGTGATGACACTTAGTAATGTGGTGAGTACTGATAGAAATCAGTGTGTGAGACCATACTGAGAGTGATGACACTTAGTAATGTGGTGAGTACTGATAGAAATCAGTGTGTGAGACCATACTGAGAGTGAGTGTGTGACACTTAGTAATGTGGTGAGTATACTGATAGAAATCAGTGTGTGAGACCGTACTGAGAGTGATGACACTTAGTAATGTGGTGAGTACTGATAGAAATCAGTGTGTGAGACCATACTGAGAGTGATGACACTTAGTAATGTGGTGAATGATGAAATCACTGAGAGTGATGTGATGTGGTGAGTATACTGAGAGTGATGACACTTGATAAATCAGTGTGTGAGACCATACTGAGAGTGATGACACTTAGTAATGTGGTGAGTAAACTGATAGAAATCAGTGTGTGAGACAGTAGTGAGAGATATGACACTTAGTAATGTGGTGAGTGTACTGATAGAAATCAGTGTGTGAGACCATACTGAGAGTGATGACACTTAGTAATGTGGTGATAGAAGAAATCAGTGTGTGAGACCGTACTGAGAGTGATGACACTTAGTAATGTGGTGAGTACTGATAGAAATCAGTGTGTGAGACCGTACTGAGAGTGATGACACTTAGTAATGTGGTGAGTACTGATAGAAATCAGTGTGTGTGTGATGACACTTAGTAATGTGGTGAGTACTGATAGAAATCAGTGTGTGAGACCGTACTGAGAGTGATGACACTTAGTAATGTGGTGAGTACTGATAGAAATCAGTGTGTGAGACCGTACTGAGAGTGATGACACTTAGTAATGTGGTGAGTACTGATAGAAATCAGTGTGTGAGACCATACTGAGAGTGATGACACTTAGTAATGTGGTGAGTATACTGATAGAAATCGTACTGAGAGTGTGTGTGAGTACTGATAGAAATCAGTGTGTGAGACCATACTGAGAGTGATGACACTAGTAATGTGGTAGTACTGATAGAAATCAGTGTGTGAGACCATACTGAGAGTGATGACACTTAGTAATGTGGTAAGTACTGATAGAAATCAGTGTGTGAGACCATACTGAGAGTGATGACACTTAGTAATGTGGTGAGTACTGATAGAAATCAGTGTGTGAGACCGTACTGAGAGTGATGACACTTAGTAATGTGGTGAGTACTGATAGAAATCAGTGTGTGAGACCATACTGAGAGTGATGACACTTAGTAATGTGGTGAGTACTGATAGAAATCAGTGTGTGAGACCATACTGAGAGTGATGACACTTAGTAATGTGGTGAGTATACTGATAGAAATCAGTGTGTGAGACCATACTGAGAGTGATGACACTTAGTAATGTGGTGAGTACTGATAGAAATCAGTGTGTGAGACCATACTGAGAGTGATGACACTTAGTAATGTGGTGAGACCATACTACTGATAGAAATCAGTGTGTGAGACCATACTGAGAGTGATGACACTTAGTAATGTGGTGAGTACTGATAGAAATCAGTGTGTGAGACCATACTGAGAGTGATGACACTGAGTAATGTGGTGAGTACTGATAGAAATCAGTGTGTGAGACCGTACTGAGAGTGATGACACTTAGTAATGTGGTGAGTACTGATAGAAATCAGTGTGTGATACCATACTGAGAGTGATGACACTTAGTAATGTGGTGAGTACTGATAGAAATCAGTGTGTGAGACCGTACTGAGAGTGATGACACTTAGTAATGTGGTGAGTACTGATAGAAATCAGTGTGTGAGACCGTACTGAGAGTGATGACAGTAATGTGGTGAGTACTGATAGAAATCAGTGTGTGAGACCATACTGAGAGTGATGACACTTAGTAATGTGGTGAGTAGTGATAGAAATCAGTGTGTGAGACCGTACTGAGAGTGATGACACTTAGTAATGTGGTGAGTACTGATAGAAATCAGTGTGTGAGACCGTACTGAGAGTGATGACACTTAGTAATGTGGTGAGTACTGATAGAAATCAGTGTGTGAGACCATACTGAGAGTGATGACACTTAGTAATGTGGTGAGTACTGAGAGAAATCAGTGTGTGAGACCATACTGAGAGTGATGACACTTAGTAATGTGGTGAGTACTGATAGAAATCAGTGTGTGAGACCATACTGAGAGTGATGACACTTAGTAATGTGGTGAGTACTGATAGAAATCAGTGTGTGAGACCATACTGAGAGTGATGACACTTAGTATTGTGGTGAGTACTGATTGAAATCAGTGTGTGAGACCATACTGAGAGTGATGACACTTAGTAATGTGGTGAGTATACTGATAGAAATCAGTGTGTGAGACCATACTGAGAGTGATGACACTTAGTAATGTGGTGAGTACTGATAGAAATCAGTGTGTGAGACCATACTGAGAGTGATGACACTTAGTAATGTGGTGAGTACTGATAGAAATCAGTGTGTGAGACCGTACTGAGAGTGATGACACTTAGTAATGTGGTGAGTATACTGATAGAAATCAGTGTGTGAGACCATACTGAGAGTGATGACACTTAGTAATGTGGTGAGTACTGATAGAAATCAGTGTGTGAGACCATACTGAGAGTGATGACACTTAGTAATGTGGTGAGTACTGATAGAAATCAGTGTGTGAGACCATACTGAGAGTGATGACACTTAGTAATGTGGTGAGTACTGATAGAAATCAGTGTGTGAGACCATACTGAGAGTGATGACACTTAGTAATGTGGTGAGTACTGATAGAAATCAGTGTGTGAGACCATACTGAGAGTGATGACACTTAGTAATGTGGTGAGTACTGATAGAAATCAGTGTGTGAGACCATACTGAGAGTGATGACACTTAGTAATGTGGTGAGTACTGATAGAAATCAGTGTGTGAGACCGTACTGAGAGTGATGACACTTAGTATGTGGTGAGTACTGATAGAAATCAGTGTGTGAGACCGTACTGAGAGTGATGACACTTAGTAATGTGGTGAGTACTGATAGAAATCAGTGTGTGAGACCATACTGAGAGTGATGACACTTAGTAATGTGGTGAGTATACTGATAGAAATCAGTGTGTGAGACCGTACTGAGAGTGATGACACTTAGTAATGTGGTGAGTACTGATAGAAATCAGTGTGTGAGACCATACTGAGAGTGATGACACTTAGTAATGTGGTGAGTACTGATAGAAGTCAGTGTGTGAGACCGTACTGAGAGTGATGACACTTAGTAATGTGGTGAGTACTGATAGAAATCAGTGTGTGAGACCATACTGAGAGTGATGACACTTAGTAATGTGGTGAGTACTGATAGAAATCAGTGTGTGAGACCATACTGAGAGTGATGACACTTAGTAATGTGGTGAGTACTGATAGAAGTCAGTGTGTGAGACCGTACTGAGAGTGATGTACTGAGAGTGATGAACTTAGTAATGTGGTGAGTACTGATAGAAATCAGTGTGTGAGACCGTACTGAGAGTGATGACACTTAGTAATGTGGTGAGTACTGATAGAAATCAGTGTGTGAGACCATACTGAGAGTGATGACACTTAGTAATGTGGTGAGTACTGATAGAAATCAGTGTGTGAGACCGTACTGAGAGTGATGACACTTAGTAATGTGGTGAGTACTGATAGAAATCAGTGTGTGAGACCATACTGAGAGTGATGACACTTAGTAATGTGGTGAGTACTGATAGAAATCAGTGTGTGAGACCATACTGAGAGTGATGACACTTAGTAATGTGGTGAGTACTGATAGAAATCAGTGTGTGAGACCATACTGAGAGTGATGACACTTAGTAATGTGGTGAGTACTGATAGAAATCAGTGTGTGAGACCATACTGAGAGTGATGACACTTAGTAATGTGGTGAGTACTGATAGAAATCAGTGTGTGAGACCATACTGAGAGTGATGACACTTAGTAATGTGGTGAGTATACTGATATAAATCAGTGTGTGAGACCGTACTGAGAGTGATGACACTTAGTAATGTGGTGAGTACTGATAGAAATCAGTGTGTGAGACCGTACTGAGAGTGATGACACTTAGTAATGTGGTAAGTACTGATAGAAATCAGTGTGTGAGACCATACTGAGAGTGATGACACTTAGTAATGTGGTGAGTACTGATAGAAATCAGTGTGTGAGACCATACTGAGAGTGATGACACTTAGTAATGTGGTGAGTACTGATAGAAATCAGTGTGTGAGACCGTACTGAGAGTGATGACACTTAGTAATGTGGTGAGTACTGATAGAAATCAGTGTGTGAGACCGTACTGAGAGTGATGACACTTAGTAATGTGGTGAGTACTGATAGAAATCAGTGTGTGAGACCGTACTGAGAGTGATGACACTTAGTAATGTGGTGAGTACTGATAGAAATCAGTGTGTGAGACCATACTGAGAGTGATGACTTAGTAATGTGGAAGTATCAGTGTGTGAGACCATACTGAGAGTGATGACACTTAGTAATGTGGTGAGTATACTGATAGAAATCAGTGTGTGAGACCGTACTGAGAGTGATGACACTTAGTAATGTGGTGAGTATACTGATAGAAATCAGTGTGTGAGACCGTACTGAGAGTGATGACACTGAGTAACGTGGTGAGTACTGATAGAAATCAGTGTGTGAGACCGTACTGAGAGTGATGACACTTAGTAATGTGGTGAGTATACTGATAGAAATCAGTGTGTGAGACCGTACTGAGAGTGATGACACTTAGTAATGTGGTGAGTACTGATAGAAATCATAGAAATCAGTGTGTGAGACCGTACTGAGAGTGATGACACTTAGTAATGTGGTGAGTACCAATAAAACACAGAGTTTGATAATATAATTGGTAATGTGGTTAATACCAATACAAATACAGAGTTTGAGACTATCCTTAGTAATATGGTGAATGCCAATACCAATGTAAAATATTTGTGTATTGACAATTATTTTTTTTTGCAGATGGTGACATCTTGTGGAATGAAGGCTTTATATAGCCTCTTTAATGGAAATCCCAGGGTTACTACTCTGAATGCAGAACTGAATGCACAAATGATCAAAGTAGGTTTAGAAACCCATGTACATGTTTTATAACCACGCAATACATTGATGTACGGTCCATAAGGCCGTCAATCAGCTGTCAATTATGTCTGTATTTGTATTTTGTAGGCTTTGTATGAATACCAACCTTCAAATAATGATGTACAACCAATGAAGGCGTGGCTAGCAGTAATGGAGGCAGCACATAAAAATCTGACAAGGTAAACAGTCATTAGTGTTCCCATGAGACAAATCAGGTTTAAGGCCTAAAGAAAATAAATAACTTGATTCTCAGGCCAGTTTTGTCACGAACAAATAGGGGAAGCAGGTTTTTTTCTTTATACTTCATAAACACAGGCACCAGCTTTTAGATTTTTTTTATAATTTCAAAAATTATAAATTTTTGTAAATGCTTCAATATTGAGTGTAGAAATGGGAATAAAAAGGTATTTACAGTATTACAGAAAAAAAAAATTCTTTTTGGTCGCTGATTATTTTGTGGTGAATTTCAGACTGGATGAGAAGCTCTGTCTTGGACACCTCCCCCGTTTCTTCTCGGTGTGTATGATGTGTCTTCTGTCTGAGAAAGCCGAGGTCAACTCTAGTGCCGCAAAAACCATGAAGGTCTGTATATCTGATCTGTCTATTGTAGTACTCTATACAGGGTTATTCTTGCCCCCATGTTATTTTCGCCCTTTCACACTTGTAAACAAATTTGCCCCATTTTGAATTTGTTTTAGAATTATAATACTGTATTCTTTGAATTCGTCCTGTTTTTAATTCCCCCAAATAAGGGTTGGGAGGAGAAGGGGCAAAATAAAATGGAGGTGAAAATTGGATAGTTTGCATCCCGGGAAGAATGATCAAGAAATCAAATAAACTAATTTTCAGAGTTGTCGCAGAGAAATGAAATGAAAATGAAAAATAAAACATTATTAATCAATGTTACAGGAGCTGCTGAGGGCCTGTCTGGCCTCTGCTGTAGAGGGCGCTAAACAAGTGACATCATCAGGTGCAAATACACCTGTCCACAAGATTGTGAAAGCTCTGGAGACAGGACTAGGGTACCAGTTTCATGCTGCCTGGGGACTAGTCATGCAAGTCTTTGCTGTATTGTTTGAGGTTGGTTTCTTGACATAGTTTTTGTTTCTTCTTACTGTTTTCTTTGAAATATATCTGTACATACATGTATTTAGAATAATTAGTTTCAAAATGAAAATATTTTATTGTTTTGGTCACATATTACTTGTCAATGATTTAAATTTTAAATTGAAGGATTTACATTTTAGGTTGTCGGTAAGGAATGCCCAGCACTTTTCAAGAAGGTAATTTTTTTATACATGTAACTAAATTAATTAATGATGATGTAAACTGTAATTTAATTAGCACACTAAAACATAATGTTGAAGGTAGCATAAAGCTTGAAAGTGAGGAACATAAAAACCTGAAGGTGGTTTGTGTGTGGAAAAGTTTTAACTGTGAATGCAGCTTATTGGATGTATATACCTACACCTTTGTATTTTTGAATCAGTAAAATATTTCAGTAGCGTATCATTCTAATGGATACTCAATTTTTTTCAGAGTTTATTATCAATAGCCAATCTTAGAGACAGTCCTAGGTTTCCTTATAAAGCGGAGTTGGACCATGCTGTCGGTGCTGCTATTAAGTACCTGGGGCCTCGTCATGTGTTAGAAGCTGTGCCTCTGAATATTACAGGCGACGAGTAAGTTTTTTGAATTTGAAAAGAATAAATGTGGGCAGTATTCTATCCCTCTGCTCTAGCTTGATTTATTTTAAATTTGTAGTTTGTAAATCTGGAGAATTAATTTAATTTTGAAAACTACATGACTGTGTAATACTTAATCATAGACATTAAGAAATGAATCATATTAAATGAATAATATGGAGGTTTGTGTAATATGATAGGATTTGGAAAACTGCACTTTATAATTGTAAAAGTTTTTAAACAGTTATATTTATTTGTTCAAAAGTAATGTTTATTTGTTTTGTATAATGTCTTATACCTTCCATTTTGGAAATTTTTATTGTTTTTTAACTTTCAGTGATGACTACAGTTTTCCCCGGAGTTGGTTACTTCCTGTCATAAGAGACAACGTGTGCAATACAGAGTTAGGGTTCTTTACAGCGTATTTCCTTCCACTGGCTGCAAAACTCAGACAAAGATGTAAGAAATAATCTTATTTGTTGTATTTTTGACTTAAAATGATGAAATTGGATTAGTGAAGACTTATTTTTATGGTACATATATATGAAATTTACATTTAATGATAATGAGTAGTGAAACACTTTGTTAAAGTGGATATTTTTATTTGTCTTGACAGCTCTGGAGGCAGAGTCTACAGGTAATCAGGTGGTTTGTAAATCGTACGACGCTCTACAGCGACAGATCTGGTCCCTGTTACCAGGCTTCTGTACCCAGCCCACTGATCTCGCACAGGTAAAAATTAATTCTCTTGTGTCTGTGCATGTACTGCATATTGTTGGAAAACTTTGCCACCCCTCTTTTGTGAAAGCATGGGACATTAAAGTTTATTTTACCACACATAGCTGTATGTCCATCAGCCACAAAAAAGTACAACCTTTGTGAAATTTTGAATGTGAAAAGATAGAGCTTTCATATTTTATATAACCTACAATCTGTATATGAAATGTTTAAAAACAGCTCGTAGAGGGAAAAAAAGATTACATTATTGGTGACATTGTATGCATATTAGAATACACACATAGGTATCTCATCCCATATTTAAAAAAAAACAAAAAAGGATTTTAAAAAGGGGGTTGAGGGGCGGGGCAGAAGTCAACACTATACATGCCTGTGCTTGACCTTGAAATTGGATCTTTCTCTTCTGTTTTAGTCATTCAAGGGAATCTGTAAAATTCTTGGGTCTGCCATCAGTGACCGTGAAGATCTTAGGACTGAAGTCATGTCTGGTCTCCGGAAACTCATCAACAAGAGCAAAGAAGAGGGTAAGTTATCAAACACATTACTGTACTTGTAATTGCAACAAGGAAAATGAGAATAAGTTATTCAGTTAACTTTACACTTTTAAGACAGCAACAAATTTTAGAAAATGTGAGACTTGACAGTTTTTATTGTTTTCAATTGATTGTCCTTTAGAAAAGGAAGGGATTAAATTCAATATCTGTAATTGCACAGATGTAGTACATGAATTTATAAAATGTTAAGGTGAAAGTTTAGTAATTTTCTAAAAGGATCGAGGCTGTGACATACAGTACAAAGGTACTTGTAAAGATTTTGCTATGATGTCAAAAACATCCAAACTACAAAGACATTTAATTTTTATACTCCTATGGTTACAAAAGAGAATAACATTTCATTGTTACAAAAGAGATTATTATTTAATTTTTATACGTCTGTGATTAAGAAGAGAGTAAGAGAGAGGTGGGTCGATTCGCCAAGAATTTCCTCCCCATTTTGTTTAACCTGTTCACAACGGAGCCAGAGAACACCAAAGACACGGCTCGCCTGGCTGTCCTGGAAACCATCAAAACCTACCTACAGATAGCAGACACCACAGTGAGTGATAGACTTCTAACAACCAGTATTTTTCCTATGAACTGGCTACCGGTCAAATTGACTGCTTCAATTGAAAAAAATGCCGCTTTCAAATAAAAAAAAAATCAAATTTAAATGTAAGGTCCATGAAGATTTAGTTCATAAACATCAGCCCCTAGCGTGTATAACTAATCTTTAACCCTCTACTTTGAAATAAAAGGAAAATACTGTACAACTAAACATCATGCTTAAAAAGAAAAGTATTGTACTGAAATTCTAGGAAAAGTTATAGTTATAGCATATATGTAGAAGAAATTCCATTGAGTTTGAGATAATGAGGTTTGACTGTTTATTAGTTTACAATAATCATGTGATGTATGAAATATCTGTTTTCCTATATATGACTGTGACTGGGAAAAAGTGGCCAGATGCGGCAAACGTCATCATGGTCATAATGAGAAATTAGCGATAGTTCTGAACGTTTTCTTCTCAATCGAAAAAAAAAAAAATTGAGAAAAAAATTATGCAGAAGATCTACATGTGTTTATTTCTGTCTTTTTCTTTCAGTTGGTCAATTCATTCTGTGATAAATGTAGAGAGAAAATCCATGAAGAGGGGGTTTCACCCTTTAAAAGGTCTGTACTGATCAAATTAATTGTATTTAATACAGAATATAGTGAAACTAGTTAGTCAGGATAATGGTCAATTTGTTCCATTCATTTTTATCAATTGACACAGAGTTCATGTCATCTAGAGATATTGTTGAAATCTTTCAGACATGCTCTGATGGATCTTCTACTCGTGATGTTACCAGTGGTGGATCAAACAAGGGTGGAAGCAATTTTCAATGTGACAACTCCATTTCTCTCTGTAAGTACACAGAATAGCATTTCAGATATCAGAAAGAGATAAAGATTTCATGATAAATAGCATTTATTTATATTCTGTACATTGTCAAATGGAATTTTGCCAATATGGAAATTAATGTTGACGAAATTGACAAATCTCTAATATTTATTGAAGTTTTGACTCATCATCTTTCACATTCAAGTTTCAACTTGCCATTTTTCTAATGTATTGAAATTGTCAAACTTTTTATCCCCTCAATATACATGTCACCACTTTAACAGTCTGTTCAAATTATGAAAATTGGCATAATAAAAAAACTTAATGAGGTTTAATGTTGGGAGATTTGTTTTTGGGAGAGAGCAGTCTGACTTGCACATTGTTTGTAGCGACATTTCTTATTGTAAAGTCACGCTTCTTTGTTTTCAGGACATGGATAAGACATTACAAAAGAAGTGTTACCGAGTCTTAGAGGAGTTATGTAGCAGCTCTTCAAGAGCCTGTCAGGCATTTGTTACAGAGAATCTGTCAACCATACAGGAAGTCCTGCTAGATTCCCTGTCTACATCTAGTCCTTCCTCTAAAGCAGTGAGTATCGCATTCTACTCTGAGTAGTTTGTTAGGGAAAATCTGTCAACTATTCAGAGGGTCATGCTAGATTCCCTGTCTACATCTAGTCCCTCTTCTAAAGCAGTGAGTATTACATTCTACCTGAAGTGTTGTTCCATTTACTCATATACACTAAATACTTCTGTCATTGTCTCAAGTTTTACAAGAATATTTAAGATTTAGCATGCTAGAATATGCAGAGTTTCATGTACATATAAATCTGTGTGTAATACAAACTAAAAGGATGATTTTGAAATTTTCAGCCTCGTCTCCGTTGTTTAATCAACATTTTCAAAGTACTGAAGGAGGAGGAGAAAGATTTCCTGTTGGCGGTTGTACCAGAGGTAAACATCTGATACATGTATATATACAAAAGTCTAGAGTGAATAACTTCACTATATTAAGAAACTTTTGTTAATAAGAAAAAAGTCACTTGTTTCCAATACCATAAACACAATCTTGCATTATAAAAAAGAGTGTATCATAATGAAACTTCTAGTTCTGTCTATATTTGTTTGAAATCAGATTTTGTGTATTGATCTAAATGATAATTTGTGATATAATGCTATCATGACAATCTCTTTCGTTCAGGCCATTCTGTGTACCAAGGAGATAGGAGAAAAGGCGCGATCAGCATCCTACCAACTACTGGTGGAAATGGGCCGTGCCAAGATGAGATGGAATCAAAACGAAAATGGTCTGCACTTGCTTTTCACATGATAGTAACCATTAGAAAAAAAAAATGATCAAATTTGAAATTGTAAAGATTTTTTTTATGTTAATACAGTGAAAGCTGTCTAATCCAAAATGCAATGGGAAGACAAATTTTGTGATCGAATAGACAGGGTGTCAGATTGTCAGTGTAAAGAAAATGTGGAAAATAGTAAAATGGGAAAGAAAATAATCATCGGAATTTACTGTGTTACGAATGCAGGTGTTAGATCAGACAGTTTTCATTGAATTACTGATAAAGTCTAATTTCCTAGTAACTACGTACATTTAGATGTACATGTAATTGATTAACAAGATATCCAACATGTTCCTTACTTTCCTTTGCTTACAGAGGCATTAGAGGACTACTTCCAGATGGTGATGGCAGGACTTGGGGGTTCCCCTCAGATGGTCAGCTCCACCCTCCTGGCCCTGACCAGGATTCTCTACGAGTTCAAAGGTCAGTTTACCAGCTGCTGATTTGTCCTTATATTTACAGAAGTTTATTATAAAATTATGTGTCATTGACCATTAATGTTCCTCCTTACGCAGCCTCCATCAGCCCGCCATTATTGGAGACGATCGTGGATCAGCTGTGTTTGCTGCTGACGTCTAAGACAAGGGAGGTGGTTAAGGCGGCCCTGGGTTTTATGAAGGTCCTGTTATCAGCTTACCCTGACACTGTGCTGGCTCCACACCTAAAGCAGATCGTGAGTACATGTCATACTCAGAGAAATCAAGTTACTGTAGGTTACTTATTATATACGAGTACTTATTATGGTGAAATGACTCTTTAACGTCAAATCATGAGAAAAATAATTTGTGAATGGACAGTTTTTCAAGAGATTTTACATAGATTTCAGCACCATAAAAATAAAAGTGATTGGGTTTTTTTCGCGAGTGATGCTTCTCACGAAATAAGGCAATACTTTATTTCATGCATATATTTAGGAATCTACAGTAACCACAGGTACATGTATATGCTATTTCTACTGATATACGATTTGTTATTGTGTAGATTTTTGAAATTATGAAATGAAGAACTTGAAGATGCTAGATTTTGAAAATAATATGATACTTGTGTACCTTATACCTACATGTACTTTGTCATTTTTTTGTGTTTATGAATATGTTAAAAGATTGTTCAAAATAATTTTATTAAAATTTGTCAGTTTAATGATACATGTATATAAAGAAAGTTATGCAAATATATATATAACTATAAACGCTGCATTCCTTTTCATTTGTAGATGTCCAGTCTTGTTTCACAAAAGGAGGACTTCAAGCATCATTTTAGGTTCAAGGCCAAAGAAATTTACGCTAAACTCATCAAGAAATTTGGGTAAAGCTTTCAATTTTTTTTTTTTCACGTATTATTGGTACATCTGAACCAAATGCAAAGGCCCAAGTGAAGTTTGCTGATCAAGATTTTTTCTCTGTCAGTATTTGAAGTTCATTAACTAGTCAAATTTGTGTCATTCGCTCTTGAACTGATACTCCAAATTCAACCAAACTTTGCAAAAATTTGTTTTTAAGGCCATATAAAATTGAAATCTTGGTTCTCAGGCCCGCGCGCATCCGTTTTGAGGTAGCCGCATTGCCGATTTTATTGAATTTTAAAATAAAAAGTTGGTATTGCAGAGACCAATCCGGGAAAAAAATTCCGACCTCATTTGTTTCGTAGTTTAGTATTCAAATATCACTTCCGGTATCCATTTACAATGAGATTTTGGCTACTTCGTTTGAAAATACATTCGAGGACATTACCTACGATGTTTACACGCTGTTAAGCTGTGGATAGAGCAGAAATTTTGACCAGAAATGGAAAGTATATCTGTGATAAAAAAAATATCTTTATGTTAAAGAAAATTCGGAAATTAAAGTTAAAAAAAAATACCTCCCTCATCTACTTTATTGCCAATAAAATGAAAAATAAAATGCCGCCCTCCCGCATCTGTTTTGGAGAAAATAGGCCTGAGAACCAGGGAATTAAATTTAGATAGCCTAAATGAAAAGCTATGTCTCTTTCCAAGGGAGGTAATCAAGAGAAGGCAAAAATATAGAAGCCTTTGACGATTGACCACTCCTTTTACAAGAAGGACAAAAAAATTAGATGCATCTGATTTTGATATACCCATTACATTTGTGTTTACTCGTTAATTACATAATGTCATGAGTATTTTTAAATTTCTTTAGAGCATCAAGCAAATTTCTAAAGCTTTATAAAGTAATCTGACCAGAAATTAAAAAAAATTAAAAGAAGAAAGATTCATTAAGATGAGGACGATAATTCTCATGTCACACATTTATTTTTTCCATTTTAGATATGAGACAATCTTTGGTATGTCACCTCCCAGCATCCACAAGGTACTGGTAAACATAAAGAAGACTCAGGAGAGGGCGAAGAAGAAGAAGAAGGAGAGAGACAGTGACTCTGAAGAAGACAGTGACCAGGAACACTTCAGATCTCAACCTGAAAGGTATATCATGATTTATTTTTTAGCTCTACTGGTCAGAGACCAGAAGAGCTTATGCGATAGTAATGCGTCCGTCGTCCGTCCGTCTGTCTGTCTGTCTGTAAACAATTTTTCAAAATGCTACTCCTATTACAGTTTTGGTCCGATTTCAATATAACTTGGCACACAAGTAGACTACACTAAGATACATAATTCTGTGCATCAGTTTTTGATTTCGATGAACGGTGTTGCCATGGTTACTAAAAATAGAAATTTCTGTGAAATTTTATTTTAAATTCTACTCGTCCACCAGTTTTGTTCTGATTTCAATATAATGTGGCACACAAGTAGACTACACTAAGATACATAATTCTGTGCATCGGTTTTTGATTTTGATGAACAGTGTTTCCATGGTTGCTAAAAATAGAAATTTCTGTGAAATTCTTTCAAATGCTACTCCTCCTTTAGTTTTGGTCCGATTTTAATATAACTTGGCACACAAGTAGACTACACTAAGATACGTAATTCTGTGCATCAGTTTTTATTTTGTTGAGTGTCAAGGATCATTTTTCTATTGATTCCTGTTTTGAAGTCTCAAGTCACAACTGCTACTTTTCTCTTTCTTTGTTTTAAGTATAAACCAGTAGAGCTACAGTCTCGACAGAGACTTCTGGTTATCAATTTTATATCAGTTGGTCAATTAACATATTGTTGAGAAGTGTCACAATTGATCATGAATGTGTTGGCTGCTACAACTTGATGTACATATTATATAAAGCATATAATACATGTATATGCATATTATGTTTGTTGTTATGCTGTTGAATTTACATAGATACCAACCTTGGCATTTTTTGTATGATTCAGTGTGGACGACCTTCTGAGGGACACAGACTCAGAGGATGAGACAGAAACAAAATCCAAACGTAAACCAAGGGACAAAACTCAGGCTAAGCTGGCCTGGTTACAAGAGGGAGGGGACATCATGGATTTCCTGGACCCAACAGCCTCCAAAAAAGTTCTCGGTAAAACCACTTTGACTTAATTGCTATCAAATTCTACAGAATCTTTACAGGCATGACTTCATTGCTATCAAATTCTAAAGGATTTAAAAAATAAGAAAAAAATCAATGATTGTTTCATTCGGTAGATTATGTTGCAAAACAGAGTCAACATAGAAATTTACATACATGTACATCATGTTTTATCTACAATTTCTCTTAGCTACCAAACCAGAAGAGAAGAAAGACGTGAAGAAGAAAGAAGCTGCATTTAAGACGGCCCCTGATGGTCGTCTGATTATAACAGAGTCCAGTGATGAAGAAGGTACCCAACAATAGAAAAATCGGACAAGTGTTTATAATTATATTCAGTACTGGGAGAGATGCAATAGGCTCTAAAGAATCCTCAGACAGTGTAGATTTAAGTTTGTTCAAATTATGGACATAATAGGATAGGGAGACACAATATGAGATCAAAGATTGAAATTTCAAAGTTTCTTAAGTACATGAGACCCATATAGTTGTTAAAGAGCAGGGCCTTGATTACTTGTTGAGCATTGTTGTTGTTTTGCCTTTTAGTTACTCTCTTGTCTTCAATGATTTTAGGTCCAGAGAAAATGGGAGAAGATGACGATGACCTTGAAGATTTGTTGAAGGCCATTGAGCAGGGAGCTGGAAATGTCAAGGTAAATAATATTTCAAGGTACTGTAGATTCCTTATTCTTCAGGAGTACTTATTATCACAATATTCCTCTTTAACGTCAAATTGTGAGAATATTTATTAGATTTTGATAAAAAGAATTTACATGGATTTCAGGACCATAAAAAAAACCCAAGAAATTTTAATTGGCGAGTGATGCTTCTCGCGGAATTACAGGAATATAATAAATTCCTCTTATTTAATAAGAAATTGTCAGTAAGACAAGTCAGAGACTTTTGGTTGAGATATAGGGCATTTTTCTGGGAAATAAAATGAGGGATTTTTTTAATATAGCAGAAAACAAAGAAGAGGAAGATAGAAGATTTAGGTTCAGATGATGAGGCATCAGCACCAAAATATAAAGGTTATAAATAAAATTTATTTAACATAGACTCTGTTCTAGTAATTATTAACTTTTCCAGATAATTGTTAGTTTATTTCCATACTTAAAGTTTTCTAGCATCAAAGCATTAAAAATGCTTAGATACAGATGAGAAGATATTAACTGAAAGTTTGAAAAAGTACATGCATTAACTTCAAATCTGTGTTTATTTAGCTTTAAACAAATTGTTTCTTTATTTAAAATTTCCTGAATTCCTCTTGATTTCCCTTCATTGGTATATAATAATGTAATGATTATTCCATATTAGCTGGAGGAGGGGGTATACACAGACCGCTAGCCAAAGCCAAAAGGTCAGCTCCCCAGGAAGCTGGCAGTGAATACAGAGCCAAGAAAGCGGGAGGGGACATCAAGAAGTCTGGAAGACCAGATCCTTACGCTTATCTTCCTCTGAACTTCCAAGCTCTCAACAAGAGGTAAAGAAAAATTTAAAGGCTTTAGCATCGTGTGCTTGTAGGTGTGATCAAGGTATGAAGGACACAGGATAAACTTTAAACAAGCTAATTAAGAGAATTTGTGTCCTCTGCTTAAGGAAAAAAGAATGAAAAACTTAGATCTAGAAGTAGGTGGGGGGGGGGGGAATCAGGACACATAAAGAGGTGCAGGAGATTACTCGGAATTGGAAAGTCTTACATGCAATTGGAATTTGGAATGTATGAATTTATGATTTTGACCTCAAAATGAATAGTCTTCCTTAGGCCAAAGGAAGTAGTGGTACAAAATATTGGAAAAGATGAAATATTTCCAGATATATTGCACGGAAAGAAAAGATTTTGAACAGACAAAATTAAAAAAAAAAATCGATGACTGACATTTTGTTTGTCAAATTTTAATTTTCTGCCCAATATCTCACGAAATCCTTGAGGTTTTAAAATAAAATTTTACATAACTCCTTTTGGTGCTATGGCAGGGCTCATTGAATATATGGTGAGCACAAGAATTGATATAAATATCCAATTTGCAAGATGTTTTGCAAAAAGAAATACTGTGAAACATTGAAAAATTTTTTTTTGCATTTTTTTTAGGAAAAAAGCAAAGATGTCGGGGCGTTTTACAAACTTGGTGAAGGGAGCAAAGAAAGGCGCTAAAAAGGGATTTAAAGGAAAGAAAAAGCCTTGATAATTTATTGACATAACATACAGGACTAAAAATGTTTATTGTTGGATCGTTTCCTTGTTTACAAAATGATTATTGTTTTTAAAATCACTTATTGAAATAATTTAATGATATATTTGTGAAAAGGCAAGTATGACAATATTCAAATGAAACTGTAAAGTTTGTGTATTTTATCAAATATGAAATTGATAAAAAGTACTGTAAATGCAGAACATTTGCATAAAAAATTCATGATTTATATAAAAGAAAAGCAATTGATAAAATATATGAATACTGAAAGAGATACTCATCTGATTATTGAATAGTTTGAAATTGCAAACACTAAAATACCATAAAAGAATGATATAATGGTTTGCGCTATTTAATTAAGGAACAAATGTCAAATTTTTTGGTTTCATGATGTGATCATGCAATTGATTGGCTTGCGTGAAAATTTGCATATATGCTGAATCCTTCAATACATTCAGGGTTCATCACTCTCAGTTGATTCGATATGCAAGTGCATGCTCTACGTATGAACAATTTCTAAAACGGGGTAAATTAGTCGCAAAAAAGTTGATGAAACAAATTTAAATCTATCAGCAGTCTCTTTAAAGTCATCATTTCGTAAGTTCTGTGGTCGATCAATGACTTTTTCAGCAAACACAATTTATGATTGAGTCAAATGCTGACCGACGTTTTTCATACTAATTGTTAGTCCATTATTATGATTTGCTGGTAAACAGAAGAATTAATTTTATACACTGAATTGACGACAAATTTATCTGTTATTCTGTTTCCCAATCATGACAAGGAGCACACAGCGGGTATGACCGATCGGCAGGGGATGCTCACTCCTCCACGGCATATGATCCCACTTCTGATGTTTTTGAGGTTCGTGTTTGCCTTGCTCCTATTTAGTATTGTTTTATGGAATTTTGATCTTGAATGCTATTCGTTTTTAGCTCTACTGGTCAGAGACCAGAAGAGCTCATTCGATGGTAATGCCTCCATCGTCCGTCCGTCTGTCTAGCTGTCCGTCTGTCTGTAAACAATTTTACAAAATGCTACTCCTCCTAAAGTTTTGGCCTGATTTCAATATTACTTGACACACAAGTAGACTACACTAAGATACATAATTATTTTTTTGATTTCGATGAAGGGTATTGCTGTTGTTCTGTGAATTATTTTCAAAATGTTACTACAAATACAGTATTAATCTGATTTTAATTTAATGTAGCATGCAAGTAGACTACACTGAGATACCTTAAATTATCAGTTTTGTGTCTTTGATTTTGATGAACAATATTACCAAGGTAGCTAGAATTAAAAATTCTGTAAAATTTTATTAAAAGCCTCTACTACATTATTGCAGTCTTGCAACAAAAAGAGACTTAATCAAGGATCTTTATTTTATTTTTTGAATTTGTAATGTTTTATGTCCCAACTACTACTTTTCTTTGCCTTTATTATAACTACAAACCAGTAGAGCTACAGTCTCGACAGAGACTTCTGGTATTCCATATGTTTCAATAATGTATGTTTTAGCTTAAATAGTGTACGTTACTAGTTTCTCCATATCTTTCCTTGGAAACTAATATTCGCAGCAGGCCAGCAGTAAACTTCTCTTGCATAGTTAACTGTTGCAGTTACTTGTCAATACTTGCCTCAAACTTGCTGCAAACACAATGGGTTTTAAAGTCTGTCATGAATACTTTTCAATTTCACTAGATAATTACCCGCGCAAGCGCGGGAAATTGAATTTATACATAGAACTTTACCATTTACAACAGAAAATTATATATTGTAATTAGAAGTTATAGATTTTACTGATAGACTACAGGCTTACAGAGGGAAGAAATACTTCAAAAATCCGCATGAAAGAAATATTAATGTACGTCACCATTCCCACCCACTTTTTGTGAAAACTTTGAAAATAAAAAATTCTTTAAGGTCAAGATCTAGTAAATGGAAGGTGCCTACAGATTTTTCAAATTTAAGAAATTAATTCCTTTCATGATGCTTTATAATATTAGCTTGGTTGCAATAGATGTTTCGGGGCATAATCTGCAGAAAAACAAAGCGAAAAACCATTTTTTTAAACTGTCATTTTCAATGAAAAATTAAGAAAACCAGTATTCAAAATGGGAGTTTTTTCCATATCAGACAAAGGAAATGTATCCAGATTGCCTACGGTTTTTCATAAAACGGTTATTTTTATGTTCGTGGTCTCTACTTTAAAATAATGTCAAATTTAAGATAGGTATCGGGACTTCTTTTCATGTGATTTCAAATTGAATTCCTTAAGAATACTTTATTTTCTACATAATTCTGTTAGAGCCGTAAAGTACGGGAAAAAGAAAGTTAAAAGTGATTATGACGTCATAATGGATTTAGCACTGAAAAGTTATTCTAAAGTCATTTACTAGATCTTGACCTTAATTGACGTTTATGTCTTCAACATGTTCAAAACTTCATACAATGTTATGGATATTGCACTTCAAATGTTCTTATTTCATTTTCATGAAGGATAAAAGCAACGAATATACATAATATACATTATTGATTTTGGGGAGTCGCAGGTACCGCATCTCGGGTCATTGCATTTTGTTACAGAACAATTCTTTTCCTTGAAACTGGATGTGCACAGAATTCTTTTTAAATTTTTAGCCTGGCGTTTGCTATTTATAAATTGAACATTTCGGTAAATTGTGTTTGTGTTCTCATCCTCCTTTAGTATCAGGTTTAATTGTTTTACCACTGGTGTTAGGTTTTGGTTCCGTGGATTATGGGTATGAACAAAAGGTATAATTTGTTTTTCCTTCCGATTGTCACGTGTCGTAAGTAGTTGTGTTCTTTCATAAGACTTAGCCTTTTTTAAACCATCATTCACTAGTCATTTCTAATAGGGTATTTACGTTTCACAAGAAAGGATTTTAATTCCTCTAGTCGTAAATCCCTTGTGTTTTCCTCACTTACTATGGTGCAAACTCTTCTTGCCAGATTATATGGTATTGCGCTCTTAGTATGGTTTGGATGACATGAGCCGAAGTGTAAATACTGATGTGTATCGGTGGCTTTGTAGTATATATCAGTAGTTATCCTTATGTTCTTTTTCTCCACTAACACATCAAGAAATGGTAATTTTTCATCATTCATCTCTAAAGTGAATTGAATATTGGAGTTTAACCCGTTTAGTATTTTGTGAAATTGCGTTAATTTCTCCATGTCGCCGTGCCAAATAATGAAGCAATCGTCCAGGAATCTTTTCCAGTTTGTTTCTATCAAATCAGCAAATTCTTCTCCCCATTCTTTAACAAGTTCACTTTTGAGTAACGTTTCAAGGTAGCCTAAAGTTAAGGTTGCATATGTTGGCGCTACCTTGGTACCCATTGCAGTGCCTTTGGTTTGGATGTAATGGTTTTCGGCAAATGCAAAAGAATTGTTATTAAGTACTAATTTCAATCCTTCCAAAATAAAATCATGTTGAAATCTGCTGTTGATCATATCCGGGTATTTTTCCATCCAAAACTTTACAGCCTGTATTCCTAAATCTGTCGGTATATTTGTGTATAAGCTCACAACATCAAAGGTAACCAGTTTTGCATCTTTGTTGACATTACTGGGGAGGTGGTTTAGAAAGTCAAGATCATCTCTAACATAGCTAGTTACCTTTTTACAGAGAGGTTTCAAGAGAATATCCAGTAATTGACTGATTCTCTGTGTAGGTGCATTAGGTCCTCCAACTATCGGTCTAAAACTCAGGTCTACTGGATCTGGACAGATGATGTATTCCTTGTTTTGATTTTTGATAGCTTCCTTTATTATAGCGGATTTATGCATTTTAGGAAGTCCATAAAATTGGCTTTCCCGGAAGTCGAAATTAACTAGATAGTCCTTCTCTTTTTCTGTTACGTCTGGGCACAGGGGTCCATGAATTAGACTTTTTATTTTCTTCATGGTTTGTCTATCATCATTTCCATGAATTTGTTTGTGAAAATTGTTATCCTGCAACATGTCCATAATTTTACTCTTGTAAAAATGGTTGTTCATAATTACAACTGCGCCCCCTTTGTCGGCCTCTTTGATCACAATATTTGGACCCGTTGAAAGATTTCTCAGTGCCTTTTCTTCCTCTTTAGAAAGATTTGCCTTTATGTGATGAAAATTCATAGGTAAAGAAATATTTTCAAGTGTTTCACAGACAGCATCAAGTGTCCGATTCCTACCTTTCTTCGGATTAAATGATGATTTATTTCTAACAAGATCACTTTCTATGGAAATATTCAGACAATCTCAAACGTCTAGTGTATGCTTTGACATCCGTTTTTAATTCCTGATTATTAGCCTGTGGCGTTGGCGTATATTTGAACCCTTTCAGCAATAATTTTATCTCGGTTTCTGTCAGTTCTCTGCTGGATAAATTCAATATTTTAGGGTCTATTTGGTTGTTTTCTTTAGTCGATTTAGATGTTTTCTCACTTTCAACACTTTGAGTATTTACCATTTGGGTTTGTATTTCTGTCCCTGGTTCGGCTTGCCTCCCTTTAAAAAATGATTCTGTGCACCTTTCCCTATATATGTAACACGATCATTCCTGTAGTAATCGTTTGTACTAATACCGGTGTTTCCTCCGTAGTTAGGGTTTTGGGTATCTCCTACATTGTGTTTTCTCGGATATTGTGACTTCCCATATTTATTTTTGTTTTAACGGAATGCAAAGTTATTTGTCTTTTTTCCGTTGTTTATTTTCTTTAATGGTCGATTAGGGTGCTGAGGATATATATATTTATGTACACCTGAAGAAGGATTATGAAATCCAGAAAGCGCTAAACTGCATTTTCTTTTTCTTTTATAATTATTTTCACCTGTGTGACATCGACTGTGAACTATTTTCAACTATATATATATATATATATATATATATATATATATATATATATATATATATATATATATATATATATATGTGAAAATTATTTTAAATAAATAAAAACACAGAGAACGAGTAAAACATAAGCGCTTTCATTTCTTCTTCATGATGTTTTACAATACTCATGGTAACGTCTATTATGACAGTCATAATAACTTAACGTTAACAAGTCTTTGATTGACGTCATATTTTTCCCGTTCTTTCACAGAACAATGCATAAACAAAGCATACAATAACAAAGCAATAAATGTGACTCAATAACATAATTTACATGTAAAGAAACAATTCTTTTACATTAAACTATTTAATTTAGGTTTGAAAGTCCTTATAAAATGTCTTTCTTTATCACGTCTTTCGATTGTGTTAGAGTTGTGCAGTTTATAAAATGGAAAGACAGTAAAAGTTCTATTTCCACATACGTCTAAGTGTTCACTGACTTTGAGTTTGCGATATTGCGGTATGTTTATTTGTTGTTTATGTACTCTGATCCTTTCCCGTAGGGTACTTCCCGTCTCGCTGATATTATACTACAGTTCCCCGCAACCGGAACATGTTATAACGTATGTAACATTTCTAGTTTAACATGACATGTTTTTATTAACAGTAAACTGTTTCCCGTTAAAGTTGAAACTTTGTCCTTGTCGTATGTATGGGCAGGTACCACAACGCGGATCCTGGCACTTGGTCACATGAAATTCTGTCGTTTCTTTAAATTCTCACACAGTCTCACACAGTCTTCTATTAACTATGTATTATTATTTTTCACTGTGACAGGTAATTACAATGTAAATAAATGTTATTCTTATTTCATAACATCTTGAATAAAATTGTAAAAGGTCTTTTTTGGTATCTTTTTGTCTTTACATTTTGCATCTCAATAATTTAAAGTTATGTTGATCGCTAAGGGTGATGGACAAGGGCACACAATTAGCAAATCTCCATCTCTTAAATCTCACAATAATGAAAATGTGAAGGGAATTTGTTGAAAATATTTGACAAATGTACAGTTGTACAACCCCATGATTACATTCTTTGCCGTGACGTGTAAAATAACGTATTCATTTTTTTCCTTCTTCCATTAAGATAGTTAATAAATTTACTTAATGTAATAAACAATCACTCCTATTTCTTTTTAAAAAAGAAAACTGTTATGATATATACAGTCCAAATAGTGAAACATGACTTATTGAGGTCTTTTCTCATATCAATTTTTTTTTAATAACGCCCGATAATTGTAATGTGTTATATATGGAGATAACAAACAGTATTCAAGCTCAAAAGTCAATTCAAACAAGACATATCAAGTGTAGAGAAAACAGACGTCTCAAACATCAGAGGTAGGATTAGGTCCCATGGAGGAGTGATCATTCCCTGTCGACGGGTAACACTCCAGTTAACCGTGGCCATTGATTTACGATGAATGACTATAGAAAAATCTCCATACCAGCATGTTAAATAGAATTCTAGTTTTTTTTTCTTAGTATAACATACACTCTGCCACTTCCCTGTGCATATAAAAAAGAGCGTTGGGTGTCAGAGCCATCTTGGATTATGGAAAGATATGGTTGCATGCCACGGCTTCATGCTCCCTTGTCTCTAGAAATTGTGCAAGATTTAATAAATGGAAAATTAAAGTCAAAATACATCCAGTCCTCATTGTCATGCTGGCGGGGATGCTGGTCCGTTATAACTCCTGCATACAGCCGACATATGAACATAAATTGATTTCAAATCCGACAGCAGAATAAGAACAAACGGCACAACCACACACACGATACCTACGTATCCCATCCTTACTGAAGACGGTCGATTATCCTGTGCACTTGTTTTTGTTCGTATATAAGAATTAGTCGTCTTTTTATCTACGTATAAAGCTTTAGAAATATTCTGCACCGCCTCCTCTATATAACGAGTGTTTGAAGTATTTATGTAAGAGGTTTGTTCATCACATGCAGAGGGTAATGGAGTAATAGGCACTTGTACAGTAACTGTAAAGGGAAAAAAAGAAGTCACGATTGCTGTAACCGCGTCTTCTTTGACGTATTCCGTCCTTTCGATATATTGCGTCACCGTGACGTTTTCTGTCTTTGTGATGTTTTCTTTTACTGTGACATAATCTGTTATGGTGACGTTTTCCGTCATAGTAAAATTTACAGTGAGTGTGACGTCTACAATTTGTGTGACCTCATCTGTTATTGTGACATTTTGCGTCAATGTAGTGCTTTCTATGACAGTAACATTTTCCACGGTTGTATAGTTGTAGCAGCTGGTTGGCATATACACATAGGAAGAAGAAACTGACACTATCAGATTTTCTGGAAAAAAGTGGAAGATTTACTATTTATTGATTGACATAGGCGGGGATTTGATAAATGTGTCGTTTACCGATTTTTTTTTGTAAAAATAAGGGGGCCGAGTGGGGTTTTATTGTGTGAAAACTACAATAGCGAAACTCTTCATTCTTATACAATATATAACTTACACTAACTTCAGTGTACATGCAAAGATTGGGGGAAATCTACCGTCCAGGGATTTTTGAGGGACCATCTCAAAATACAGGTACATTTACAAGGAAAGTGCCCATTTTTAGCACTTTAAAGCAAATTATACAAATACTATAATATTTACATTCGCTGTGTTTTTCTACTAAGCCAACTGTGAAATTGATTTGAAAACCATTTTCGTGTATACTCACGCGTAGAAATAAACACGGAGAGACGTGCGTTAACGTGACGTCACAATGAGAATGCAGCGACGTTAGTAAAAATGCAACAATATAGGACAGGGAGAAATCCAAATATTTAGTATATTTTAGTAGCTTTCAATCATGTAAAATGTAAATATAAGGAAATTTTTAAAGTTTTGTGTGAATTATTGGTGTGAGAATCACACAGACTTGCACGTAGGCATATTTTTCATGAAGCGCTAGCGCGCTTTATGAAATATGCCTTCATGACAAGTCTGTGTGATTCACACACCAATAACTCACACAAGACTTAAAAACATTCCTTAAATATACGATGAGTAATACTATATTGCACATTATGTGTGAGAAACACAACATTCTACCGTCTTGTTACCAAAGGGGGCATCTCGAAATGCCCAAAATTAACAAATTTTCCTATTTCTACAGAGTATTACAAATTATGATGGATACAAAGCATTTTTACAAAAATATAACAAAATGATGGATAGATTCTTAAATTTCTATGTTATAAATTTCAAGACCATATGTTTATTACTTTTTCATTAACATTTTTATTACCATTTCTATTAGAGCTTCACTTTATCATATACCGGTCACGGTAGCTTAGTGGTAGAGCGTTCGCTTCGTGATCGGGAGGCCCGGGTTCGATTCTCGATCGCGGCGCCGCGTCATACCTAAGACGTAAACATAGGTAGTGACTGTTCCTTCGCCAAGCGCTCGGCACTAGAAGTGAAAGTCACGGGTCTTTCGGGTATGACCTTAAAAACATAGGTCCCGTGTCACGGTAGACGTTGGCACGATAAAGAACCCTCACTGCTCAATGGCCCTGAGTGCCGAGTATAGGTCTAAATTTGAAGCCCTTCACCGGCATCGGTGACGTCTCCATATGAGTGAAAAATTCTCAAGAGGTACGTTAAGGTAGGTCGCGGGTTTGCTTTTGTCATCAATTTTGGTACACAATTTTGACGATTCGAGCGGTTGTTTTGTGCACATTTGATTATGACGTCAGTTACGTCACAAAGGCAACGTCACGTTGTTTCCCGTTTAATTCTCTGCAAATGACTTGAAGTCTGTGCAAATTTAAAAGTAGATTTAACACAAAGTGCATGCTTTTGTATGTAAACCTCGTACATGTTTTATAATTAAATTTCAGTCTGAATTCTGGTGTGATTATATGTAATGTCTTAGGACTAATCAAATACAATATCAAATGAAAGCAATAAATTATATTTGAAGTGTAACTAAACTGCTAAAAGTCAATCAGAATAAATCATCGTAAAATTTATGCCTTGCAGAAAGAAAGTTCTCATGAATAAAAAATTGCTTAGCGAGTAACTTGAGGGATTGTATACATGTGCGCACGTTATTTGAAACTCAGGGGAACTTGACTTTAAATCAAAGCCGGGGCGAAAATATGCCTATACTTTTCAGGATGGAAATTAATCCTCATCACTAAAAACGAGTTATATTTAATTACAAGTATTTTTCTGCATGTTTGTTTTTTTTTTAAATTATCATTATTAATATTGGTTGGTTGTTATGTATTTAAATCTCGTGCACTCGCCTTGTTTTGCTTGTTAATAAATTGTGAAATGCATTTAAAAATCAAATTTATTCAAACACCTGGATTTTAAGACTTACAAAACACTGTAAATTACAAGTATAATTTTTCTCTATATATTTTTTATGACAAAAGCTCAACGTGTAAAAGCTATAAATGAAAGTGTTTTACATTTTACGTATTGGAATTTAATTCAGAAAATTCGAAATTAAAAAATGCTTGAGATTTAGAGCCATATACTATAGCTTGCGACTAATATAGAAAGAACATTGCAGGTAACCCCCCCCCCCCCCTCCCTGCCCACTTATTTCCTCATTATAGGGATGTTTTTCCTACCGTTTTCAAATAAAGTGATCAAATTTTTGTTTTATGCTTGAAATCCTATTGACCATGCATTTCCTAAAAATACAGGTACTAATATTTTTTCACTCGCGGTGAACATTGTCGCTGCATGTTAATGTCGCTTCACGAGGATTATTTATACCGTTCATTCTGACTTTGTGATCAGAATATGAATTTCACAATACTAGTGAAAATAAGTTAATTGCTGGTCATCCTAATATGTCTCCGCAATAAATTAAATGATGAATAAAATTAAATTTTGTATCAATATCACCTTTTAATTCTCGCATATTCCATAGGTCAATATATTCATATTTATACTCGTACTGTAAACGTAACTACGTTCAACAAATGACGTTGTAGATATTAATAATGCCGTAAACGCCAAATTTTAGCATTTTAAAAGAAAACTTTGAAATTATTTAGCAAAAAATCTAGCGAGAAGACATATTGATTTTTTTATATTAATGGTTTTGATTTTACCTCATCTAGACATTTTGAAATTCCTGAATAATTCGTCTACATCTTTAAAAAGTTATCCAACCTTTTTAAAAGAAACTATCTTCACAAAATTGGCTTATAAACGTCATTTTCCCATATATTTCAACGGTAAAAGCGTCAAAAAGGATTTAAAACTACACCGCGTTTACAGTACTATAACATTAAAACTACTTAGGCAAATTTAATAAAAATTGCAGATGATACGCTTTAAATTCTAAGGAACATTTTATCAAATTTTCAGGATATGTTTTCTCGTAAGAATTTTTATGCAGTAAACCCGCGACCTACCTTAAACAATATACAATCAATCAACAATCACTTTATCATAACGTCAAAAGCACATTATCACGACGTCAATATACCTATCAATTGAAAAATTGTTTTGAAAATCAGTTATTTAAAATTTTTAATAAAATTTTCAACCTGTAATTTTCTTAATTTTGTTTTTTTTTAATTAAATTAAAAAAATTGCTTTAAAACAGTAAATACGCGTAATTTTACTATGATGCGCGAAATATTATGAAAACTACAGTCGGCCCCCTTAATTTTTACTTCTTTTAATTAAAAAAAAAATCAGTAAACGACATATGTTTTTAATTGAAAAAGAATTATTCTCATCTATTCTAAATAATATATTTAGATGTGTACAGATTTTTTTTCAATGAAATCTACTAAAGTATGGTTCTAATGGTTTTGAGGGCAACAACTTTAATATTGTGAGACTTGTGGTTTTCATTTAACGTTATTAACTTTATATTTTCTTCTAACGTGTGTGACGTGACTATGTAGAACTTGCATCTACAGCGGGAAGATTGCGATTCGAAGCAGTAGAAAAGGTAGAACATTTTAAGTGTTTTTTAAAGTCTTTCGTTCATATAATTAAAAGGCCAAGGAAAATATTTTTCCAGAGCTGTATTTTAGTTTTGATTCAATATTTTTCTGTAATTGTTTTTTTTTTTTATTTAGCGCTACATTTTTCTTTTACAATAAATTATTTTTCTGGTGTAATGTTCATCACCGGAATTTTTTACCTATAAATTCCCAAAATAAAATCATTTCGCTTACATTTTTTTTCACATGAAAATATGTATTTAATTTTTCTCCTAAACTTATTTCAAGATTCAACAATCTGTCCATTTGATTCGTGGCGTAGTGGTATGATTGCTGGATTTAAGACATAATGATCGTGAGTTCGAGTCTCTTAGTGCGTGTTTCTTGTTTATTACTTTTTTTTTCTCTGTGCATTTTTTACATGTTTTCTTTTATTAGTTTTTAATACATGTATAAATAATGTATATATATATAATACAATATTACACCATCAAAGTTTCTCGGGAAAAATCAGTCTTAAACTATTCTAATGACCCAAAGTCATGATAGCTGCTAGCTTGTTTTATTTTTAAAAATTTTCTGACAATCTTTTATAGAATAAGAGTATTGAACAAGTAAAATTATTGTCATTCAACGAACTTGCAACTATAAAAATATAACACTGGTCCACAAATGATAACATATATGTATTTTGATTTTGAATTGAAAAGGTACATGTATCTATAAAAAGAAACAGGTGATTTCCTTTTAAATACTTGAGTCGGCCAAGTCCTCAGTAAGGCAGCTATGGCTCTTTATGGGTCTTATGTTCGAAGAGTTATTAAGTCCTTGTCTATCTAACTTAGCATTACAAATGAGATGAAAAAAGACTAATAATTATACTGAGGCATCATCAATGATCTCTGAGTGTTTCAATGTGATTTTCGTGTTTCACCCTTTTCTACAAAAAAAATCTTTGTACGAGGGTCATTCAAAAAGTTCGTAGACTTTTGCCCTAATTTTTTTTTATTGAACGTCATACTACATCCACATTTGAATAATTTGAGTGAAAAATTGGAATGTATCTTCATATTCATAAAAGTTATCGAAGATCTAGCAAAAATGGGATCACGGAGCGATGTCAAAATTGAGTAATTTACTAATTTTCACTTCAAATAGTATCTAAAGTCATACCTCTAATAAATGGAACTAAAACGAAATTTAAACTACATGTTTAAATTTAGTCTTGCTGTATCACTTAAGATGCTATCAAGTAATGTAATATACCGCTCCGTTTAAAAGATATCAGTTTCTAAACACATATGGACTTGATTAAAAATGGCAAAAAAACATGACGTTGGAGGAGGGAGCAGCGAGTAGCAATAAAATTTTGATTTGCATTCGGGAAACTTCTTTAGCAAACTTAAAAAATTCTGTACAAACCAGGAAATAGAGGAAAATAAGCTGTGTTTTTGTATTAATATGGAAAATACAATTTTTGAGCGGTAGCGAGTTTGAATCGGACGATGGATGGTCTGCAAAGAAAAAGGTTTTAGTTAAAAATTTTGTCAAAAGAGTTAGGAACGTAATGTGCGTTTCACTGTTGCGGAACTAATAGAGTTACATGTACGCGGTAAAGAAAATGGAAACACTGACAACCTAGTTCAAGCTATTTGCACAAATGTTAGCAAACTAGGTGTTAAGTGTTAATGATACTTTTTTATGAATGGAAAGGACACTACAAACCGTGTATGAAATTAAAAAGCAGAGTAATTTTGAAAAACTTTAAACTTTCTCGGCGTTGTTTTTGACGTTACAATGTTGGTATAACCATGCTCCTTGGTAACAAAACATGCTGCTTTAAAAATTGGCTAGCTTGAGTTCTATTTAGTCAAATGGAATAAAACTTCACACTTCGACAAATAAATGTTCTTATTTATGATAATGTGTTCATCTATAATCTTGCAATAATAATATGACGATGAGGAACATACTGGTAGTCTACGTATTTTTTGAATGACCCTCGTATTGGTTCATTTAAGAAATCCTCGGATATATATACGCGGGAAAATCTTCCATAGATGCAATAAAACGTTATTTACCCGCACGCAAATATTTAAACAATAAAATGCTTTATTTGTTTGTTATTACTGGAATTAACGAAAGCAGTTGTTGCAGAAAAAATACATAACCCGCGTAGGCATGTTATGTAAATTTTTTCTGCAATAGCTGCGACAGTTAATTTCAGTAATAACAAAGAAAAACATATTATTTTTTCTTTTTATATCTTTTTAAATAATCATTTAAAATAGGATTAAAAAGATAAATTATTGTATTAATGATGCGAACGTCTTTATACGTTTCATTGATGGAACAGCCAGTAATCAAGAAATCTGAACAGGCGACATGCCTAATGTAGTTCATGCAGTGATTAACGAAATGAATTTTCTTTAGAAATAAAGGAGAAAATATTCAGTGGATGTAAATATTAATATATTAAACCCCGCGAATTAAAATGATTATGTAAAAAAAAGGTAACATGCTTACCGGCGGTATTTGTACAGTTTAAAACAATGGTCTTCTCGTTTACCGTTGTAGGGGTTATGACGTCAGTTTCCTGTTTTACTTCACCTTAAAAAGAAAAACAAACGTCATAATCCAAATACATGTAGTTATATCCTACCTTCACAAGCCAAATTAGAGTTTTTCAGTTTAAGTTAGAAAGAGACAGGAGGAAAATCAAAGAAATTGGACAGAAAACCCATCGTTTTATTATTTGAACTGATTTTTCTCATGAGACAGGATTTTTGAAAATTATATTTTTACAAGTACCTTACACTCATGAAAAAAAATCCCGTCCCACTTATGAAATAAATTCAAACATTGCATAGTCGTAGCTTAAATCCTTTACGAATTTATCTACATACCGCTAATGCACTGGCGAATGGCAATGTTGACCTCTGGCCCATTACCCTCCTTCGTTTTCATTAGCAAGCAATTGTTAATTGAGTGTGAAACAATAGCATAGCAATTGGCGTCGTTAATGCACGTTCTTTTGCAATCCGCCTTATCACTGGATTCAACACTTATAAGTTCTAGTGACAACAAATCACTCATTGGACAAGTATTGCCTAAATATAACAAACATGTTATGTTTTGCATCCATTTCTTAAAAGTAAATGGCCGTGTTTTAAGTCTGGTAAGCATTTATCTATTTTTTTTAATTAAGCATGTTGGAAATATCTGAACTCATATATAAATCTGTTTATTACTTACAAAAATGGCTTATTGCATTATGATATACCAAAAGAAACAGCTTTGCTCCTTTGCGGCAATTTTTAATCAGTAAAAGTTTATAACAAAATAAAATTGAAAATTTAAGACCTCTCTGGTGAGTACAATTGCATGATTTTCTTTTTTTAATGGTTACCCTGAAAACAATTCAAAACTTTGCCTATCTTATCATTTTTACAAAACTAATTTCCCTAGATCCCCAATAAACTTGCCTTCAATTCGCTGTTCACATATAGCGCCATAATGTTCATCACATTCCTCTTGTTCATACTTAAAATCCAGATATGGTTTAGTTTTGTAGCATTGTCTGTTGGAATCGAAAGTGACGCTACCAGAATCTTTAAAGTAAACAAATGTTGAAAAATTTAATGGTGTGCAATCCTGCCATTCATGTCCAGAGTCTGTATTGGTCAATCCGATCCAGGCAAAGTCGTTTCTAAAATAAAAAGCACAATTAAAGGCCCAGGATTATCGTTTTTCCATATTTCTATCAACCTGAGTAAGCTTTAAGATTAATATTAAAATCTTATTTTGATCATACTAAAATTATTAAATTACGTAAAAAAAGATTGAGAAAAAATCAAGATGCTCTTTTAGAATTTAAAATGTTTTATGCAAGGTTTATTTCTTAAACTATGAACTTGAGAAAAAAAATGTATTAATAGTATTTTATATTAATGTTTTTATTCAATGAAAGGTACTCGTTTTTAAATTTCCAGATCATTTTTTTTCTTTTCAGATATATCATCATATTACCGAATACATATCTGTGAATATGCATAGAAAAATTATTTCCTCATAATCATCTTTTCCATTTTTTCCAGATTTACAACCATACTTTTAAATCCATAAGATCTACAACGCACGCGTGGTGCAGTGATTAGAGTGTGTGCTCTAGAGCTAGTTGCGGAGTAAGGAGATAATTCTTTAATCGCTGAATTTAATTCAACTGCTAAACATGGAGACCTTTAATTTTCGTTGAGACGGTATAAATCTACGTCCCATGTCGCTGTAAAAAATTCCTCAGTACCGTTTATGGATTGAAATTTGCAGCCTCAACCGATAAGTGTGGGCGCATGTGCATAGAATTCTCTAACAAAAAGTACTGTATCAAATATAGTTAACTATTAGATAACTATAGTAAATTAAGTTTTCACATTAATAAATTAAGGTATCTTTTTACTATGAATTTCAAATAGATATATATATTTTTATTAATTCCTTCAATTATTTTCTGATATAAAGAATTTCTATTGTTTCTATATTTACATTAAAAAAACTTTATTGATCTGTAATTTCAGAAATAGTAAAGATTAATCAAATTAAAAACAGACTTCTTAGATCCGCGCCATATTCACTCTAAGAAGTCTGATTTTTATTATATTGTAGTAAGGCTCTGAATCAAAAATGTTTCATTGCAAATCAAAGTATCAAAGTTTTTATTACCTACTGGTTAACAATATAGTAAACTTTAAGTTTGAGTGAAAAATTCTGTAGAAGTAAGTTAAACAATAAACAAACTTACGGTACGTTGTTCCAGAACATTGAGCTGTTTTGAAGTCTACGCATTCTAACAAACATCTCCCAACTGTCCAGGTTTACAAGGGAAGCATTCAAACTAGCACACACTTCTCGAGCCTCTTGCCAAGTGTATTCTCTACTTTTGACGTATATGTAGTTTTTTGTGTAGGCTTTATCTGAAAAAAAATTTTAAAAATCATTTTTCTAAATTTTTTTTTACTTGTAAATTAAATGATATGCTGACTTTTTCTTTGAAAGATGAAATGAATAATATAGTGAGTTTTGATCAAACAACATTCATTTTTCCCCCGAAAAGAAACCATCATTTTACATAAGTCGTTATATAATAATAATAATATTTTTTTTTCTACAATAATTGGATTTGATACACAAGGTTATCAACAATCAATAGTGTTCGATATAAAAATTTTGCAATAACTATGGTCTACAAACTACACAATGCCCTTTTACGATTACATTCTGTCATTATGCGACATCTGACCAACATCTTTCAAACAAATTATAAGGCTATTATTTTCAAACTTTTTACTGTTTATATCATCTTGCCTAGGAGAACACGTCAACAAAGAATGCTTACTCTTAATAGTACTTGTTCCAACATTTGTTCTCAACATCCGTGTTGGTTTTGTGCATAATTTGTTTAAATATGAACCCTGTGACTAATTCTCAGTTTACTTTGGATTTTTTAAAATCTAAAATCACGGTTCGATTTCTTTTCTACGACGGCGTATTAGTGCCATTTTAACAATGTAGAATTTTTTTTTAAATCGTTTGTACGATTTAATAAATCGTTTGTACGATTTAGTAGATCGTTTGTACGATTTAGTAAATCGTTTGTACGATTTAATAAATCGTTTGTACAATTTAGTAAATCGTTTGTACGATTTAATAAATCGTTTGTACAATTTAGTAAATCGTTTGTACGATTTAATAAATCGTTTGTACAATTTAGTAAATCGTTTGTACAATTTAAAAAATCGTTTGTACAATTTGTTTGTTAAATCGTTTGTACGATTTAATCAATCGTTTATACGATTTAATAAATCGTTTGTACGATTTAATAAATCGTTTGTACAATTTAGTAAATCGTTTGTACGATTTAATAAATCGTTTGTACAATTTAGTAAATCGTTTGTACAATTTAATAAATCGTTTGTACAATTTGTTTGTTGAATCGTTTGTACAATTTATTAAATCGTTTGTACAATTTAGTAAATCGTTTGTACGATTTAATAAATCGTTTGTACAATTTAATAAATCGTTTGTACGATTTAATAAATCGTTTGTACAATTTAGTAAATCGTTTGTACAATTTAATAAATCGTACAAACGATTTGTTAAATTGTACAAACGATTTATTAAATCGTACAAACGATTTTAAAAAAAATTCTACATTGTTAAAATGGCACTAATACGCCGTCGTACTTTTCTATTAATTTCTTTTTTTTTTTTTTTTTTTTGATCAGGTGATAAAAAATTATCCAGAATCATGAATTATGATGAGGCAGGAAAAGCATTGCCATCGGAAAAAACTACAAAGTGAATTCAAAGAGATAAGGCAGTGCGTATGTAAAATATTAATCTGATATCAAAGCATATAAGGACCGCATGGTTATAAGTACACAAATGGTTTACATATTACATGTAATCTTTCATGTTTTTTTTTCATACAAATTCATAATGTAACCCTGAAAGCTAAAGATTGCATCGTCTGTGTATGTTTGTCTATATGCGACTCTCCCATCTTAGATTACTAGTAATTAATATCTATATCTTTTGCAGAGTAAAGCAGTTATTGACCATCTAAGACAATGTTGTTTTTCTTTAATTTGAGCAAAAAGGGGAAAAGTCTACTTTGAGCATACATACAAACAAGAATTTCAAGATTCTCGTTAAACTTAAACAATGTGAAAAGCATTCATTTCGATATATCCGTGGTCGATACAATGGCCTGAATACTGTTCTTTATTTATACTCTTTTATCAATTTGAGGGAAAAAACACTCTACATGTAAAAATACTTATCTGAAATGATTTTATAATAAGTAGCTGAACAACCAAATAAGAAAAATCAGTGAAATTCGAAGACTACAAACATTGATGTTAGTTTTTACATCCCCTAGATATCTTCTTTTTTTGTGAGAGCGCAGAAATACTGCAAAAGTATGAAACATCACGATCACGAACAAACTTCTTTTCCCAAATTTCATGGTTGTATGCAAAAGTTATCAACCCAGAGGATTGTATTATTTATAATTAATTCAACAAGAATAAGAAAAATAATTTAGAATTTCTTACCTGGTACAATAGGTTGAACATAGAGATTATCATAACATTTTGCATACAAAAAGATTGAAAACATAATAAAAATAGAACTGAAGTACATCATTTTAAACGCAACCGCTTCTTCTAGCCAAATAACATTGCATGCATTTTTTCCTCAATCAAAATGCATCTGTAACTATTGGGTGAATATATAATCAATAAAGTCTACATGCCAGTTAGGTCGGCGGACTTTATGCTATACTTTTTGATTGCTTAAACTAGAGGTACTGTGAGCAATGAGCTCACTAAATGATACCCCCCGCCTCCCATATGATTATAACTGACGACAAAGTTTATGTTTTGCTGTGGCCGGGAAACCCAAAATGTGTGTCGGATCAAAAAGTAAAATAGGAGGTGCACAATGGCAATATATAATAAAGATTCTGTGAAAGTTTCATTAAATTTCACTCATTGGTATAAGAGGAGTTGCTGATAAGAGATGGGTACCCTCAGGCATAACAGACGGACGGACGGACAGACGGACGGAAATCCCGATTACTATATACCCTCCCATTTTTCAAGCGGGGGGTATAATAAGCTGAATTTAACATGCTGCTAGTGTGCAATTCATGGTTATAAGATATATCAATGTTAAATACACAGATAAATTGTATCTTGAATGACACCAAGTTGTCATTGTACAATATTTACATTTCCAAATATTTTTCCTTAAGACCCTTTGTAAATAAGAACATTTCATTTTCTCATGAACTACCATGGATGAGCATGAATATCTCCACGCCAATATACCCCACTGAATGTCAAAACTATAGTGCAAGCTCTTTTTGTCTTTAAAAAATGACAGTTGAGTCGAGTAAATTGTAAAAACTCATCAGGAAACTTTTGAAAATATAAGAAATGAATTTAATTTTTGAAGATTCATGAGGTTCATTATCTACAACGCTTCAAGCCTGCATATTCATCATTAATGAAATATGTAGGTGAAGCGTCGTAGTTCATGTCCTCA